GACCGGGTATTCAATATTGGAAGCAAAGTCAGAATCAAATTTTCGAAAAAAATTAACTCCGGCTCCGGTTTGAAATATACTAGACTCTGACTCCAACCCCCTGAATCGGGATAGCAAACTTTCAACTTCTAGGAAAACTTGGCAATTGCATTTTTTTTAGTTTCTGTTAATTTTCGATTCCGTCTGATAATTAGAATCGCGAAATCCCGACGCTCAACTCCGGAGAGTTTCAAAATTTTGACTCCCACTCTACACTACACGGTAAATCTGAATTATCAACTTCGGATTCAATTCCTGTAACTTCCAAAAACGTTGACACGGACTGCATAGCACTGATTCTGTAACAATTTCCGCACAAGGGTAAACACTCATTATGCATGCTTGCATTCCCCCATTCGTTGTGTTTATGCAATTCGTATTTCGTTAGTGGTTTTTTCAACCGTGACCTAATGTATTGTTGAATCACAAAGCTTATCGGAATCGTCATTATGACGTCATGTTCAAATAATAAAAATAAATCATCCGTCAATTTAACCGAGTTATAAACGACGATTTTTATTTTTTATTTTTAAAATTAATGCTAAAACTTGGGGTATTTAGCTACTGATGCGATGACTTTATCTATTTCAATTTTATTGGGTAAAACCAATGCTTAACTGCGTCAATGTCATATAAATATCGTTGGGTATAGCCTTAGGTATTACAACTATGTAAAAGATCTTATTCCCCCTTTTGCTGAAAATAGCGTATTCAGTGTGTTTTTGAGGATAATGTTCAAGATAACTTCATTGTGACGGTTAGTCAAATTTGACAGAAAATACAGCTTCTATCCCCATCCTTCTGATAATTTCAAGTTCGACCATCGTTCATGCACTCGTCATATTTTTCGTAATTATAATCAAGTCCGATTTCTGAATTAAATTTTCGATTGTATACGGAAAATATGACCGATATATCCACCGTTTCAAATCCTACATACCCTTATTTTTCTTGACCTAAAATATTACACAAACTGTAGTATTCTTAGAACTATCTAAATTTCTAAATTCATCACTTTTGTAGCTTCTACCAAAACATGTCGCTTAGCATAACCAATCGATAGAAAATAGAGAATCCATCGATTTTACCCTCAGTTGCACGAAAACCGGAAACGTAAACGCTTTCAGCCACAACAACTCGAACATAGAAACATAGATGGTGACACGAGTATCACGAGTACAAGAATTAGATTAGAAGAATAATGTAATATTAACTTGAATTTTAGTAAATTTAATATGTTTTGATTACATTAACGACGTGTCTCTCTAAGCAGGGTCGAATCTTTGCTAAAACGAATCCCTATCAATTTATTACCGAATATAATATTAATGACATGACTAATAGCTTATCATAAATAAGACTGCCAAACCAGAATATATCAATCGTTTGTGCGCTCTTCGATACTTAATAATATTGTTTACTAAGTGATGCTATTTTGAAATTTTCTTCATTAATTTATTCTATTCTAATTTCACACCCACCATTTCTGCAGTGATAGGATGCGCAACAAAAGTTCAGTTATTTTATTTGTACGCCGCAAATTGAACAGAAATACTAGTTACGAATAGAGATATGGATATATGGTTCCACTACCCGTATGACCCCTGTTGCCACTTGAATCCCTGTAGAAGAGGGGGGGGGGATTATTTGACTTTCATATAGACAGCAAGTTAGGATATTTGTAAGAATACATGGTCTCAATGTCCATTTGAATTGCCGCCTCCATACAAAGACTATAAGATATATGGCGGCAATCGACAATTGAGCCTGCCACCTAGAAAGTAGGTTAGCTAGGCAAGACATGCATCGCCACCCAAATGCAGTGTTTATATAAACACTTTATTAAATACATTAATGCAACTAGCCTAAATGAAAAATGCGATGGTGATTTTTTGCAGTCTTATTAGTGTCTCGCTCTCATAAAAGCGAAATTTATCTAATACTCCTCGTTAACTTGTATCTTGAATTGTCTACCTTTCTTTCTACCTTGAAATGTTATTACTGCTACTAAGTTTTCAAAAGTAAAACACTTGTCGGGCCTCCTGAAGTATGCGCACCAAAATGGCGCACAACCTGAACTCACCAGTACTCACTCAGTGTACCAGGTTAGGGTTCAGGTTATGCGACATCGTGGTGCGCATACTTCAGGAGTACCCACTTGTCAGATCTCAGTAAAAACTACTTGAAGTAATGATGAGGTCGCGATAGATTATATACTTGGTACTTTTACCAGTTCTTTGGCAGTTTAACACGGCCATCCTACTCGAGATTCAAGTAGGGCACCATAAGTTACGAAAACACTATGTTCCTGCATGGCGACACTTGCAAAAAGCGTGCAAATTTATTTGACCGCCCTTGTTATGCACTTTGTAGATGTTTTCTTTCTGTTGTCGTCCCTAAATAATTCGCCACGTATTTTTGAATTTTAAATGCTGTCTGTTAGGACTGATTTTGGCTCTATCATGTTGTTAGTAATAACTTATTACCCATCACTAATAGTTAAGTTAGGTTATCGCTCCACCTTTCTGCTTTTTCTTGCAAACTTAACTTATTCTAACTCATCCTAAAATGAATGAAAGCACAGAAAATTGATGGTGGGGCGACATATAGTACTCTTACATTTTTTTAAAAAAAAGCTACAATACATATATGTAACATCTCAAAAATGGTTTCTCGTGATAACTTTCATACTCTTATTTGCCACACAACCTACTTACTACCCACCTTCTGCTGGTACGAACACAACTTAATTATTATATGGGACAAACGGCGCTCCGGAAAGTAAGTATACCAATATGGGGGTAACTAATTTTGTTCGCCTACTTCACAAGTCGTGTAAAGCGACGAAAGCCTATGGATAGAGGATATATTCACTTGACCAACACGGACAGTCCGCGAACTCGTAATAGAACTAAAATAAGGAAAATCGGAATAAAATCATGACCTAACCCTTACCTGGTACACACACTATGGGTGTACCGAACAAACTATGTTTAAAATTTGAATCATACATCCCAGACTCCAACCTAAACAGTATACTCAGACTAAATTGAATCGCCGACACGCGAAGAAATATAGGCAAACAGGCCATTCATTGTGTACATTGCAACTAGCGGAAATGTTAGGCTATGTATCCTAATTATTATTGCGAACATTGTACTGTATAAACTGCAATTTCCTATCCTAACGACTACAGTGGCAATTATTTTCCAATTTATATATCGTATTGGATTACAGTAACCCATTCAAACAATTTATGCTCTTTTACTTAAATTAATACTAACATCGCTTCATGAGAGATAAACGATTTGAAAATTCTTATTCGTGTTTATGACGTCATAATAGAATATCAAAAACCTCAAACAAATATAAAAAATAAAAAATGTCCCGAACCAAGTAATTTGTATCTAAGTATTCGTTAAAAATATTGCAAATTGAAAAATATTGAATTTCTAAATAACCAATAATCTCAAATTTTGACGAGTATAACAAATTTTTTCAGTACGTTCCTAGAACCGCTACCTAAATTTACCTACGTTTTCAAAAAAAATCATTTTTTGGAAACCGCTATTCTCAAGGCTTCTTCCATATTTTCATATCTTCAACTTTCTAACATAAATGCGTCAAGATCTTTGCGTAAACATGTTACGCATGTTTATTTTAAACAAATGATCAAAATTATAAGCTGTGAAAAATTTAAGAAAATATATTGATCTTTTCGAGTAATTATTGGTTCCATCCCACCAAAACTGCAAATAATTTACCAAACTCAAAAGATGTCGGGATATAGAATAGTTATTGAATTTGGAATTGAAAATATAACTCGAATCTCTGCTAGAATCTATTATATTTAACTTCTTCTTTTTAGGATTCTAAAATCATTGTTTATAGAAACGCTGTTTTCCATGTTAACACGTAAACATGCGGATTTCCTTGGCAATATTTTCACAACAATTACATTGTTACGTAATAATAACATTCAATCGAATAATGAAATAACGTTTACTTGTGGTGATCGATTAACAGTAACTGAAAAGTATTCAATCAATGGCCTAAATATGTGTAGTTAATTTCAGGGAATTTTTTCGTTTAATTATTGATAAAACCTTAAACTTTTAAATATTTTAGTATGGGATGTAGAATATTGTTTATGATAGCGTACATCTTGGATTTTAATTCACGCCGTACGGGACAAATCATAAATGTGCGACATTCAGTGTTCACAAGAAGCATATGCAAATTTCAGTTTAGAGTTGAGGTACGAAATCGTATACTATGGGCACTATAGATCAATGTGTCAGGTTTGGTTAGTTAATCCGTCTTTTTCTATCCATTTACGGTCGGAAAAACTTCCACATCTAAATCCCGCAATTTTGGGAATTTTTTCATGCGCACGGTCTGTTATTTAGCAGACATACATAATGGATGTATCGAGGTTTATATTGATTGAACTTTTTATATTTTCATTTCACTTATCTATCGCAGCATAAGGACCGCCTTAAAGTCACAATTCATATTCCATTTCCCTACTTCACCCTATTTATCCCTTACGCTTTACCATATCACCGACTTATCACATCATGAAGATCCATGTTCAAATTCAAGTAGCCTCGCGATTTGGCGTAGGGTTTAACACAATCCATACATAATTGTAACTATCATTACTGTTTCCTATTCCTATATGAACAAAAATATATTTTGACCGATTTCAAAGTTCAAATTTCTTGGTTTTATTAAAGTTGAAAAGCAAATCTGCATAGCGTTTATCGTTTCAACTACACAAACTGTATTGGACTCTACTTCAGGGAGTGCATTGTAGAAATTAATGAAGAGATCACTGAATGCACCACTGAATGAATATCCCATTATATCTTGCGTCTACCGTAACAAAACGACGAGAAATGCTTCATTACTATCATGTTACAATTTTTTATCTATATAATCATAACTTTTTTTTACAGTGCTGAATACCCAGACTTATCCAAGCATCACAATGTTCTAGCAAATCATCTCACTCCTGACGTATATCGTCAACTTAGAGATCGCGTCACTCCCCACGGTGTCACCCTGGATACGTGTATTCAAACAGGAGTCGACAATCCAGGACATCCATTTATTACGACCGTGGGTTTGGTTGCAGGAGACGAAGACTCTTACGAGGTATTTCCCCAAATAATTTGTTTTTCTCGCTTCTACGGAAACGCAGTTTTAATTTTTTTTGTATATCCTGGGCCTATATGACGGTTTATGCATATGGCGAATGTAGGCATAACGTTTGGTTACCAAACCGTGCAGGGTCTGGTATTGGATGGCCAGATGTATAATTACGATAATCCAATTCAAAAATGTATAATTTGTTTGACTGAATAGTAAATATTCATCCAATTCATAATGGTGACGTCATAAATATATTACGTCATACATGTCACAGGTCTTCAAGGAACTCTTCTACCCCGTAATCAAGGAACGTCATAATGGATATGATCCGGAAACTCAGACCCATCCTATCAATCTCGACCCAAGTCAGATCAGAGGAGGAAAATTGGATGAAAAGTATGTGTTTCCATCTTAGTTGTAATACGAGATTAGTTATAAGTGTTTAATTTTTTGGATTCTTGTAATACACGACATATACATAATGTAAAAATGAACTGAGAGAAGGTTGTGCTTGAGCTGAAAACCGAGTATGTTGAAACAAACATGATGAAATGAGGTGGACCCATACGTCTCAAAAGACGAGCCCATGAATTCAAATAAAGCAGTGAAAATTTTGAGTGCAACATCAGGCCCTATAGGACACAAAGAAAACTAATTGGTACAGTAGTTTCGTAGAAAAGCGCCTTTCTCTCAACAACAACGATCGCCTAATTTCAACAACATTTGACAAAACGACCCATACCTGCATTTGGTGTCCAAAATAGCATCTCAAGACTGAAGAAAACGTCAAAATATCGTGTTATCTAGCAGCGACACCCTGCTGATTGATATTATGTCGTTTATAAATTTCTCTTTTCGACACGAACAAGGTCATTAGCGAGCAAATACTGATACATAGTGAGCTATCATGTTCTTGAGTGGGTCTAAGTTGGTTTAGATAGGCATGACGTTTCCATTTTATTACACCTTGGCTGTGTGAATATAAAGTTTGGATTATGATTTCAAAACGACGATGGCAGCCTACTTAGGCATTGTTGTCATTTTCAAGACATCACGTCTGGAAAATGACAACAATGGAAATTCCCAACTCAAAATTCTTCAAACAAATCAAATTTAGTTGAATTTTGTCTGAGTGGAATATTTCACGAAGAAATTTTCTTTGGGAGGAATTTTTATGGTAAATGTGAGTACTTTATGGCCCAACGCACTGAAGCTAGGCCTTTGAGCGCGCATATTTTTACCCTATCTAGTCAATTAATATGCGACTGAATCTTTCATAATGGTGAGAGATATGACGAGCAATTTTCTCACCAAGTTTTTGAAACTCAGTTGTTACCGTATGGTTCAGTTAGATTACCATTTCTTTTTCACTTTTGAATACTTTTTCGATTATGCTTTAATGAATCCTTCCATTCCAGTTACGTCCTTTCGTCCCGTGTCCGTACCGGACGTGCTATCCGCGGCATTCCCCACCCTCCTTCCTGCTCAAGAGCAGAAAGAAGAGAGTTGGAGAGAGTCATTGTCGATGCCCTTCAAGGTCTCCCCACGGATTTGGCAGGAAAATACTATTCTCTCAAATCTATGACAGAAGAAGAACAAGATCAGCTGATTAATGTGAGAGAATTTTGTATTTAGCGCAAACGTTTTCGTTAGGGTGTTTCAGCAAATGTTTGTTGGGATGATTGATATTTTGTTGGAAATTTTGAAACGTTTTATGTGATAATTATAAACCATAGTCAATGCTGCCAATTGACTTTATTAATTTTATTTTAGTTAACTTAGGTATTCCAAGAACCTCGCGTCTTGATAACCAGCTATGATTTCCTGCGGCTTCCCGAAAGAATGTGTTTTTCTCTCTTCTGTATGGTAGGGTATTTGTTATAGGGCGAAAATCAATGGGATTTGACGTCACTGTTAACCTAGTTCAGATTGGCTAATTGTTACGGAAATACATGGGGAAGTCGAGGCTTGGAAAGCATTCATTAATAATCTTTTACAGGACCATTTCCTTTTCGACAAACCCGTGTCTCCTCTCCTCTTATCCGCTGGTATGGCCCGTGATTGGCCAGATGCTCGCGGTATTTTCCACAACGACAAGAAGAACTTCCTCGTCTGGATCAACGAAGAAGATCATGCAAGAATCATTTCTATGGAACAAGGCGGTGATATGAGGGTATGTACATTATAACACTTTTGAAAAGTTGGATTTCCTTCGTAGAATTGTTTTGAATTGTTTAATATTGAGCTGTTTTCGTGGCGCTCCAGAAGTGTGTCTACCAATATGAAGGTAACTAATTTTGTTCGCCTATTTTACGTCGAGTTGTGTAAAGGGACTAAAACTTATGGGCAATTCACTTGGCTAACACAGACAGTCCCCGAACTCGTAATAAAACTAAAATAAAATAAAAAAATCGGAATAGAAGTATATCCTAACCCTAACCTGGAACACACATTACGAGAGTGGCCAATATTGGCACGGTTGAAATGAATTTCACAAGTAGCTTATCATCTTAAACCTCTCCATGTTCGTAAGTATGAGAACTGTTGCAAAGTAAGCGTAGCTTGCCATCAGTAATGCATATATTGAAACCTAATCAGTTTCAGATAACATAGAATACCTGTTTCAATATTATTATTTTCATACCAAAAGTGCTGAGGGCCTCCGAAGGGTATGATCCGATCATGTTCGTATCCGTATATTCGAGAATTGTTCTCTTGATAATTATTTTGTTACTGTACTCTCTCTCTTCTAGTGTCGTGGCATGCCGTAGATGAAATCATGATCTCCATTAGCTTCGGCCCATTGCCTTTTCTGTGAGTCCGCTGGTATTGTTGACACCCGTTTCCTTGCACATCCGGTCTAGCATCTTTATCCTTGGCCTACCCCTGGCTCTCCCACTTTCAGTTTCATTCTTCAGAATGTGCCGTTCGATGCTATCGTTTTCGCGAAATAGGTTTCCAACAAATCGGCACTGCTTTCATTGTTACTGAAATACGTATTTCAAATTTCACATTTTTCAGGCTGTTTTTACTCGTTTCTGTCGCGGCATCAACGAGGTTGAACGTTTGATTCAAAACAAAGGGTGGGAATTCCAGAGATCAGATAACCTTGGCTACATCCTGACCTGCCCGTCCAACATTGGCAACGGTCTCAGATGCGGAGTTCACGTCAAAATTCCTCTTCTGTCAAAGGTAGATATCGTAGAGAGAATAGAGAATAAATAATAGATAGAGAATAATAAAGATAAGGAATGGGTAAATAGCTGGATGTCTCGGAACGTTTTAGCTTATTCGTTCGGCTTGGCCATTTAAATGAAACCTTCCAGGCACCTCTCGAGTTTACTCCAGCATATTAAGTACCGTCCGGTGTTCGTGACGCCCATCCAAAACGGTGGCGTCAAAACGTGAAGACAAACATTTTGGGATATCCAAATTGAGATATTTTAGTAATTTAGTTCGAAAAGAAATGCGATGCGAAACTTAGGCTACCAATCCATGTATTCTGAGTGTCACCAATCCTGCGCACCTGCTATTTCATCTTGACTCCTGTTTATGCAAAATAAACAATAGAATCATTTTCTTACTGAATTTACATTCTTTAACGCAGCTCAACTATTTTTCTTTGCCAGGATGCCAGATTTCCTGAAATTCTAGAAAAACTTCGTCTTCAGAAGCGAGGTACCGGTGGTGTAGACACCGCTGCAGTTGGAGGAACCTTTGACATCTCGAACTTGGACCGACTCGGACAATCTGAGGTAAGAATCGGTCAACCAGTCGTGGTTGTAAAACAAACCGATTAACCAAAAATACACAAGAAATGGCATAATTTGTATTTACTGTTTCATACAATTTTGATTACAATTTCTCGGCATCTGATAAGCCACAATTGGAGAGCGGTGTGAAATGTGAATGTGATAACAACAATTTTTACTCCTAACAGAAATGTTTGCTGATATAGTATCTACAAAACCATGAGGCGTTTTCAAACAGTTTCTCGGTGCTATTGTGGTGAAAATTTGAATAAAAATTGGGTATTATATACGTAAAAAACTTTATATATATACGTACAAAACGGACTTTATATTCTAAATCATGAAATATTTTTAAGATAAAAAAACGTATACCTGGTTGATGATCTCGGATTTGAGCAGTTTATTCGGCATTACGCGCAAAACCATCCACCCAGAGTGTAAATTATATTGCAGGGGTGCGCAACCTTTAATACAGACGGAGTCAGATTGAGATAACTGGGTGAAGCTGCGGGCGCATCTTTATTTAACATAGGATATCTAGCAGTTGCAGCCTTGCAGGCACAAATATTTTGGTTATCGATCTTGGGACATTAAATAGGCTTCGCAACGCAAAAGGATTGGAATTACTGGCACGTACCATATTAAACTGAAAATTCGTTTCGCGGGGCGCACAACATTCGAAATTGGCATTTCTCCGCGGGCCGCACAATTTTTATCTTGAGGGCCGCATTTGGCCCGCGGGCCTCAGCTAGTATTTATTGTATAGCTAGCTATATCAAGCGAAATCAGTGTACGCAGTCCAACTTTAATACGCAGTTGCCTATATAAGGACTTGTTTTAAAACGCGGGGACAAAAAATTTTATGAACAATATAAACAGTGTTACAAAAGCAAAAGTAGGAAACAATAAGCCTCGTGTCAAAACTAAATTTGATCATAATCTCAACAAAAATTCATTTTTTGGCTAATTTTTAGCCAAAACATCAAAATTTGGTTTTAGTTTGGCTGTGGCAGCATCAGGCGGGCCAGATTGAATTACACAACGGACCGGATTTGACCCGCGTGCTGTAGCTTGACCGTGTCAGCATAGGGACTTGTTTTTAAGCGGTCGAAGAGAGGAGAATATAAAATTCCAAATTTCTTTCTCAGGTTCAACTCGTTCAGAAGGTGATCGATGGAGTAACTCTCCTCGTCGACATGGAGAAATTACTCGAAAAGAGAAAGAGCATCAACTCCCTTGTTTCCAAAATAAGATAGATAAAATTCCTTTAAAGTTCTAGTTTTTTTTCTGATATAGAGATTAGTTTATTATTTAAAAGTTGATTAATTAGTTAAAAATGTATATTTAAAATATTTTATATAGGTCATATTTTTTTTTTTTTAATAAAAAAAATTTAAAATTATTTTTTTGTGTTTTTTTGAAATTTTGTAGATTTATTATATAATTCCTGTACAACTGTGATTTGTAGCAAAAACTGTAAATAATTTTTTTTCCGGATAAAACATCTTTTTCTGGTTAATTCAAGATTTTTCTCGGAAAATACCTATAATCTATCTATTCGGTATATATCGTCTCATTTACACAACTTAATACTTACCTTAATTAGGATAGTTTATGAGATAAGGTTTTCGGATTAGTAGTCGATAATCCGTGGTTTTTCATATTTTCCGAAAATAGTTTTTAGTTATTTTTTCTTTATTTTTCAAGTGTTTTTTGTACCAGCCTACTTCATAAAATGTTCCTCAGTAGTTTCCGACGTTTTTACGCTTGAGTGATTTATATTTTGGCGGGAAATTTGAAAAATCCCTTTCTAAAGTCTGTTCGCCTTTAGGCAACAAATTCGCGCTTTGTCTTCCTTTGTAAATACGTGATGATGAGTAGTTTTTGATTAAAAACAGTGTTGAAAATATTCATAAAATTCATTTGCATTTCTGTGTATGTTTTTATCCCATGCTTTTGATGTTCATTTGAATTTATTTTTATATTTTCAACACTGTTTGAGCGAGAAAAATTAAAAAAATAGAATAAGTGCTTGCATTTGACTGTCTTTGAACTTCGTCATTGTTTCATATAAAACCCTCCAAAGTGATTGAAAAATTAAACTACAGCAATTTTTGACATTTGTTATGTGGGAAAGACTGTTTTAACTTTCGGCGGATATAGAATCCTTGTATATAATCAACTATTCCAAAAAATACTAATTATTATTTATTAAATAATTTTACAACACGACCTTTTTAATTCAAATATAAAACTTAAATTAAATTTCTAGATTATTCTGAATTTCCATCTTTACAAATACATTTCCCAAACAGACTGAACTTGACCATATTCAATTTACGTACTTTCTTCAACATAAAAAAAAAATTACTCGGTATTATGACCTCTAGTCAGTCATCACTCTTGTGCTTCTTTTGTTTTTAATTTTTCCCGCGCTTTTTTCATGTTTATGTCAAGTTACCAAACCAGTATTACTATAAACCTAGAACCTTGTACATACATGTAGTTATATCATAGGAATAGCGTTTTTCTTTGCCAGGCATGGGACGAGGATAAATATTGGCTCAAGAATTTGCCATTTATAATCCATTTGTGTCCGAAAGTCACCATTTTGAGTCCAATTACCATGCTTGGCTTTTACAATATACTATATATTCTCACCATAGAACTTTGAAACTTTAAAAATTATTTACATATAATATATCATTAACGTATAAAATATAGTAATTTAACCTATTATTTTTAACATTCCACACTGATTGCACTTCCACTATTTATATTCTATATAATATACTTTAATTAACCTTATTATTTATTTAAAAAAATCAGTAATTTATAAAGGCATCAATTAACGGCACTTCATTTTTAAAGTGGGCGTATACTATCGATTCTAATTGTTCAAGCGAATCGATATGACACGCCCCTAAATTTGAAAATAAATGTAATATCAATCAACACCGAAATGCCTTTACTTTACTGCGTTTTTTCAGCTGTTTTGTATCCATATCATAAGGACGTATACACTGTTACTAACCATACCACCCAAGATTGTATTGCTGTATATATAATTATTTAGTGTTTTGTCACAAATTCAAGCAAATTTTTTACCTATTTTCACAAAAAGTAGTTTTTTTAGCTCTCTATCACAAAATTGGTCCGAAAAAGTGAAAAATGTAGATTTTACGTTGTATTTCGGCTTTCGAATTTTATTTGTAGCTTTTTTTGATCCAACGTGCCAAAATTTACAATTTCGATGTAGTGGTGTTCCAATATTTTTGCTCCCCCGCTTGCTTTGCTTACAAATCACCCTCGCCCAAAAATTTTAACCTCTCCCACCAGGGATGTGGAGTCAGAGAAAATGTACAACTGACTCCGGCAACTAACTCCGGATTGTAAAATATTCGACTCCAGCTCCGAACACCGAGTAAAACCATTTTTGATGACAAACATACTAGTGTAGGTCGGTTAGTGAAATTAATTCGCTTTGAGTTTTAGTAGGAAATTTTGACCTATTTTCTTGTCATTGAAAGTTTGCAACTTCGACTCCGGGAAATTCAAAATTATGACTCTGATTCCAGGAGAGTTTGAAAATCCGGCTCCGGAACCAGTAAAACAACTCCGACTCCATAGACTTGTTTTCCATGAGTGCTACATTATCGCGAGATAGCGTTTTTCAAAAAACATCAAAAACGAAATTCTTACAAAGCGATCATTCTCTTCTGCCTGCTTGTGGTGTTACGAGTCAATTTTCAGATTACGGATTTCAAATTGTAGACTCCCACCCCCACCTTCTCACCTCATACCTACACTTTGCATGCGTATCCCTTTTTTGCGTCGTTATGCTTAAATAATTTTAGCGTAGAAAGCACTCAATTACGTTTTAGCGTCTCAGTCACCAACATATTATTTATTGTAAATAAGTTTTTTTTTCTCACACTGTTAAAAAGTATCGGCCCAATCCTTGCATTTATGTTTTATTTGGATAAGTTGGCAAATTTAGATCTATTTTGTCATTCTTCGATTCCAAATAGCGCATAACTACATGTAGATTCAACATACCTTTTAACAGTGTTTTCAATCTTTCAGAAACTAGATTTACCAACTATGGTCCAATGATAAATCGAGCTTCAACGTATGTTGGTCCATACTTGGAAATTTCTAAGACAGTCTCTGATTGGTTGATTAGTTTTTTCACTTTTTGTTAGTTTGTTTTTTATATTTTTCGTAGAGAGGGGCGAATCGTTCGTCCCATCTTGACCGACCAAGGCTATCCACTGTGCACAACGTAGTTTTATCACTTTGAGTGTTTTTAGAGCAAAAATATACATATTTGGGTTTTTAATGTTGTTTGATTTTATCGGCGTCTGGATGGGACTAACCAATTAGAGAAGTTCGCTGGATACTCCCGTAGTTTGTGTACCAGGTTAGGGTTAGGCCATAATTTTATTCCGATTTACCTTATTTTAGTTCTATTACGAGTTCGGGGACTGTTTGTGTTAGCCAACTGAATATACATAGGTTTCAATCTCTTTATGCGACTTGATAAAGTAGGCGAACAAAATTAGTCACCTCCATATTGGTACATACACTTATGGAGCGCCATTGACTGACCGTAATAAGGTCAGACTGGGCTACACTAGTAAGGTCGTTTGCCACATTTGTCCCACTGTTTAAAGCTAGGATTGTTATGTATATATATATACTGGATGAAATCACACTGGCAAGCGATATTAGTCATTTGGCTTTTGTGCTGATATTTTTGAGTTCTGTTTCTAAATGCCAAGCGTTTGAAACCACCAGATTGAATTACCCAATAGGCCGGTTTTGGCCCGCGGGCCGTACTGTGCCCACGTCTGTTCTGGGGTGACCGGATTCCAGTAAATTTATGTTTTATTTAAACGGATCTTTGATAAATATAGTTTAGTGGCCCTGATGTTAGTAAATGTATCTGAAAGGCATCGCTGGTCAGTTGTTAGCATATTCAACATGAACTTGCGATCGGACGATAAGGAGAGGTTCGCCAGTCATATTCATAAGCCGTCTCATCGACATTCCTTTCCTTGGGATTAATATGAAATTCCTATTTTAAAATGTAGAGCCTTTGCTATGATGAGGTTTTCCACATTCCGTTTATTTTGCTGGATTCCAGAGTCTCGCTGCAATCATTTGGAGAAGGGGACTCACTCTTTAATAATTGGTCTGCTCAAAGTGAGATTTGTGTTACGTTGTTTCTTCATTATATTCTAACAACGCATTTTCTCTTCTTTCCTTTTGATACTGCTCTTTTTTCTTCGATAGAGACATCAGAAAAATATTTGCACCGTGCGCCTCATTTCGACTCAGGGCGTCGTAGTGTAAGGATGTTTCTGCGCTGCTCTGCGCCAGGTATACAGGTGATTTTCAGTTAGTGAAGTTCAGATTAACGCAGCCTTTTGCTTATATTACCAACGGAATTTTCTACTTGTATATATATATATTATATTTATAGTCGGTGGTGGGATTCGGGAGGTCCGTGCGAATCCTTCTTGGTATGTCATATTAGTGGTCTCGTGTAGTTTCGTACCACAGTAACTCCTAGTGGGCGTAGCGTAACGATGTTTGCATACATCATATCTGACTACGTCATCTAAAAATTACGTCATTGCCAAATTGAGCTTGCCAGAGTATAGAGACGTCACCCATAATAGCGTCTGATAAAGAACTTGAACGAATTAGTGAATCTGTTCTTGCGTTTAGACTTGGTCATTTTTTAATTATGGAACCCGTTTGTGAGTTCGATGCAAAAGAGAAATTGTTATTGGACTTTTGAATCCCATCGCCGACTCAATTGAAATTGAGAATTGAAAAGTCCATTTTTGAATTGTTAAAATATGTTATTTTGTCTATGACTTCATTTTGATACAGTGTGGCTCATTAAATTTTCTGTATGTGTTACTGCTGTTGACGATTCCTCCTGCACCACCCTGTTCATATGTGTATACCATATAGATTCGAACATTTATCTGTTGCGCTTCTTTATTTTGTCTGTACGTTTACTTACGTCTGTGGTGAATCACGTTTGGGTTTTCATTTATTTATCATCTTGGTAGAAAATATGATAAGACTGCTTAATCATGTGGCGAACCACGACTTGTCGTCCAGTTACCAGTTCATGTCGGGTCTGGGATTAGTTAACCAGTTATTCGTTTCAGATGCGTTGATTTGGTGGAGGAAGATGTAAACGACGGTGTGTCGTTCATTCCGGTATATTCCAGTTTTCTCAGTCTCATTTTTTTTGAGTAAAGAATGTACTATGTATACTAGCAGTAAAACTGCAGATGGAGAACCAGACTAAAACACTAAAATCTCGTTCTCTCAACTCAGTGGTTCAGACTGCCTATATGGAGAAAAATGTATCAAAGAATCTTAATTCTCAACATACTTTCTCTAAAGTTCCAATGCCTTTCATGATCTCATTTTCATTACGATATGAGATGCACATGACATAACCCAGTTGCCAGATTTTTACTTAATTCGTATTGAATAACATACAATGATATTATAGGTAGCAACCATGTTGGTTTACCATTTGAATATATTTGCTTGTATTGAAGGAATGCGGTCCCGCAAGAACCATAAATTCAATCTATTAATAAGCCTGACGAATGTTGGATGTCAGAAAAGTTAAGGGGGAAAGCCTAAATCAATAGAGTGTCACACTATCTGTTTCGCTGCAAAGTGCGACAGTAAGTTGGAATGGCTCAGTGAGCCGCTTATCGGCAGGGGTTATATTCAATTGGCTAACACAGACAGTCCCATAACTCGTAATAGAACTAAAATAACAGAATAAGGAAAATCGAAATAAATTATGACCTAACCTTAACCAGGTACATGTAACAGCCGTTCTTTGTGACCTGGAAGACAACGACTGCACACTAAGAATTTATTAACAGTTCAATAACGCCGTCTTTCAAGGCCCCAAGCTTGTATTCTCAAATCCAGAAAATCACACAACTCGAAGTATACAGATGATACGTTAATACAAGCGTAAAAACAAATCAGAACAAAATACTTGCCATAAATAAATAATCAAATCGGCCTTGGGAAAGCCTACTCAAATTTATGAACACAAGTTTCAAACATAGTTAATCAGCAAATCGAACCAAATTACTATTAAATAACTTGCAGTCTTCGAATCGGAAAGTTATTATTAACATACCGAATTTGTCTGCTATTCCAGGCTTAAATTACAATAAGTTGAACAATGAATGAACAATGAAAATCAATCAAATCAATTAATTAACTATAACTGTAAAAACAATCACAAAGTCACTAATGCTCATAAAATATCCATATCCTTAAACCAAGCCTATGTGGAGCAACCCTAATCTACATCATTTAATGGAGCCTAGCGCCAACCCTAATGTCCAAACAGAAAAACAAGACCGCTAGCGCTAAACCAATTTCAACTTATTTACAACGAAATGAGCGCCATTCTTCAAAAAGTTATGCGCTATTTAAAAGCAAAGTACAGAAACTATTCCTGACTCGACGAGATATTTCTGGGCAAGCAATTGCTCGCGAAGATTCTCTCAACTGTTTCGAAATAAAGTGTGTAGTAGCACACTGTCAATCATGGGAAATTACGGCGTCAACAAATAAATTACTCCACGAATTAAACCGGGTGTCACCAAACTTTTTTGATCGAGGGCCAGGTATGAGTCAAACTGTGAAACGGGCCGGACAATTATTTTTGTCAATGTAATAGAATAAATTCACAAAAGTTGGGAAATCCATTCAATTTATTCAACAATATAAATTCTACATTTCTGAAGTCTCAAACATTAAATTTTATATAGATTAAGAATATCATAGCAAAATAAATATACACGATTTCTAGACAACTATCTTTTGCTGTTAGCAAAACAATTGCTGTCATGAATATCCGAATGTGAGCAGTACAAAAGTTAACGTGACTTGTACTATTAGCGCAAAATGCACGTTCGAGGTACATTTTAGCAAGAGAGACGTACGCAGCAACAGTTTCGCCAAACGCACGCGCCACGCATCTTTCGCTCACGCATCAAGTGCATCCTTCGCAGAAAACGTTGCGTAACGGTAGAGAATTTTAGCTTATTTTATCACAGCTATTTATAGACTAATTTTTGATTACTGCAATTAAACTACAACTTATAAGAAGACAAAATGATGATTGAGTTATTTGATTCATACTTAGTTTTTGGTTGTGTTCTAACGAATAACATTCAAAATCGCGGAAACGATGTTTTTGTTTACAACCACGACCGAAAACTTGTCTGAGTGACAAAAGTGACTGAGCGGATGCGAAAAGGCCTATTATTACGTCATTTTTTTCATCTTACTGATTGGCCAATGTTACGAAATAAAAAAGGAAGTCGATGCTCAGGGAAACTTCCCCTGAAAAAAAATTTCGCCATTTTTTGTGTCATTGCGGGCCAGATGAACGGACACCACAATTTTTACCCACATGGTCTGTCGGGCCATGTAAGTGTGATGCCAAAAGAAACATTTTATGAACAATATTTACAGTGTCACAAAAGCAAAGGTGGTGAACAATTTGCCCATGCCAAAACTAAATTTAACTGCAATCCCAACACATTCATGAGCTATTTTATCTATACCATCAAACTTTGGTTTTAGTTTGGTTGTGTCAGCCTCCGACGGGCCATATTGAACTACACAACAGGCCGGATTTTGCTCGCGGGCCGTAGTTTGACCATGTCAGTTATAGACTCTCGGGTTTTAATGTAAACTTGCGGAACCGCAGGACTGTACTGGCGATCGCTAGAATGCCACGGAACGCTGGTTGAAAACTACTGCGATATATCTTCGCAAAAATAGTTCTGCGTGTATACAATGCCAGGATAATGTAGCAAGGATAAAGATGACTATCCTATGTGATTCCGAGAATTTTGCTACATACCCTGTTTCCCCGAAAATAAGGCCTACCCTGAAAATAAGACCTATACTTAGGCTTACCATACGTCCCGCTTTAGGCGGGACAGTCCCGCTTTTTAGCGTCTTGTCCCGCCGTCCCGAAAAGTCGGTCAAAAGTCCCGCTTTTGCGTTCAGCCATCCAGCATAATACACGAACATGTTCTTGTTAATGTTGTTGCTGTGCATGTAGCGCAACGCTAGCCCACTTACTGAAGGTGAATGCGCTATTTTATTTGTTTCGTTGTTTCCCACTAACATTGTTAGCGAACGTATCACATGTAAAATCAATTCTAATTGGTCCTGTTTGGACATTCACGTGAATGTAACATTGAGCAACGTCTTTTTGAAGGTGTTATCTACAGAAAAGCATGCTTAGGGAATGAGTAAATTCTCATTGCTTGAAAACGGCAGTCTATTTCTTTGTTTCTTTTGCTGTACATAAAAAATCTAAATTCGGATCATTTGTATCGTTAGCGTCTATTCCTTTCTATTTTCGAACTGAACCCGATATTTAGACAGAGAATATGCGCATGAACTCTCGATGACAATAATGGTCAATGAAGACAGCCGGGATGGCTTTAAATGTAGGCCTATGTAGTAAAATCGGAAACTGTAAAGTTATAGGATCACAGCTAAGAGGCCTTGTCTTTGGAGGCGTCCCGATTCGAAGTCCAAAAAATATGGTAACCACACCTATACTCCGAATTTTGAAAATAATTTTAATATAAGCTCTCCCCTTGAAATAAGACCTAGTCAACAACGCTAAATGTTATTTTGGCCTGGTCGATCAATAGCATGAAATCACTCCTACACGTTTTGAATAATTGGCCATCTATGTTTTGCAGTCATGTTGAATAAAATCGTATTATTTATGAGTATCGGTTTGCATATATATTTGAAAATTTCGTATATATATCTCTTCGTTGTAATTTTGTTTTTGATAAATGAAAATATAAGATATCCCCGAAAAATAAGCCCTAGTGTTATTTTTCGGAAGAAAATTGAAACAAGACCCAGTCAAGAGACCCAACCCAAGACCCAAAAATATTCAGTAAAAATTCCATATTGTATAGAAAAGAATATTAGATCCTTTTTAACGAAATAACAAGTACATTTGTAAGCTTTCGCTAGATGATATTCTATTCTATTTGCTGTTTGGTCAGGTTATATCTTGCTTTGTATGAAGAAGTTATTAGTTTGTCCCTTTTGAAACCATTTATTCCTCGCCCCCAACGCATAATACTACTACTTTGTTAATTCAATCTTTAGAAAGCATAATATATTGATAAAGTTTAATTTTGAAGGCACGGTAAAGGATACAAAAATGAACAATATATATAGGCTAGATATATTTTAAAACGGTTCGAAAAATAAGCAGTGACATGCATTTGATAATTTCCCCGAAAAAAGAACTAGTCTGAATTTCGAAAATGATGTTAATGTAAGCCCGCCCCCCAAAATAGGCCTAGGTAGCAATATAATTTATACCTTGTAAATATTTACTCAAAGTCACATAAGTCATTTACACGTAAAGTGTTTGGTAGAAGTCCCTAAACCCCGAATTAAGCCCCATTTGAGTCAATCATCGAACTAAGTGTCCCTGGCAGTTACTCGAGTCCGAGTTATTTCGTTTAAAAGGCTCGCGTATTATGAACGGTGCCCCGGATTAACGTCAATGGATCATCCTTCTAACAAGTTATAGAATGTGACTTGCTCGATAATTTGAAATGACTAACAGTGCCAGGAGGTGACAACTGACAACATTCAGTATTGACGTTTTATCAAAAGTGAGAGGTTCAAGAAATATTGTTATTAATTTCAATATGAAGTTTAGTTGATAAAATTTATTAATAGAATATAGATGAATGATATATATACTGACGATGGCTTAACTCCTTGCAAAGCTAACTGCCGTTTTATCGGGATTCCTCCCCCAAATGATGAATATAAAAATACTACCCAAAGAGATATCAACCTTGTAATTAAATGTTAGTTTAATTCATTTTCTATATATAATTTATTTGTCAAATGGGGTATCACGGATAATGGCTGTGGTTCTTCGTCGTCGAAGGCAGGAGGTATGTTCACTTGATTTTTCAGACTGATTCCAAAATTGTAATAGAACTAAATAGGGAAAAGCGGAATAAAATTATGGTCTACCCCTAACCTGATACACACACTACGGCGTACCAAAGTGAGAACATCATATCCACTTCGCTTCATTAAACTGACGTGTGGCGTAAGACCTGAGAACAAGTACAAGCAAGAGTTTCCATTCTGTTTGAACTTCGGATAGTTACAAATGAAGTCATTTTGTTTCTCCAAAAGTACTAAATTTGTTTTCTGCAAGTTGGGCATGACGGCCTGCTCGCCTTCTGAAGTAATTCTTCGTAACAGTTTCTGAAATAAAGAATAATAATAATATTTTGCATTCATAGCAAGAACAAACCTACCTATCTTGAATACCTTATGATTTATCTAACTATTAAGAATACAGACTTTTTCTAGTTATAATTGCTGCAACAAGCTGATGAATTTTCGATTTTCATCTAAACATATATCCACGTGATGATATAGGCTACTAACACGGATTATAATGTCTGTGTTTTTGTTTGGTCTCGTTTTGACGGGTTTATACACCGATCACCCATGAGATGTGAGATAAAATACTTTTCGCTCTCTTCTGGTTGGGAAAGGCTGCAAGTCGGCCACTTTTTGTTGATTTCTATATATTTTGGCTGTTTTAAATATTAAATTGCGGAGTTGTCGTACAATAAACAACCAATCCGGAACCCTTGAGTCTTTTGACTTATTTACAACAACAGTAGCAAAATCGAAACTGTGACACTACCAGGTCTTCTTCTTTTTTTATTTGAAAGACAAGCTCGAAATTATTCCCCAATTCCCGAGTCTAGCCTCAGTTGGTCGAGTCGAACGTTTTCGTTTAGATTTAACTTATTCATGTCAATTAGAGTCTTTGAATAAGGGACTACTCGATTCTGGGCTAGAGTGTGTTGAATTAGTTAGCATGATATGATTAGTGTCACCATGGCGCAAAAGTGTGTGGAAGTGTCATCTGCAACGAAGTCATGCATGCCGCAACTCCCAGACTACGCCACTGAATTATACTTCACTTACGTGTGCATTGAATGTCCGCATGCCATGGTTAAAAATGCTTCATAGGTAGGTGTGATGTCGTTCATACAGATTGGACAACTTGAGTTTGCCGAGTTTTCCACGCAGCTGTTGAAATTATAATAAAGCTCAGTTAGTTTCAAAGATGTATTGGTTTGGTCGAACAGAATACATTCAATACACTTTCCTAATAGTCATAGGGCGATATATTTATGTTTACTTTTACAACTCCCTTATTCAGTCATTGGTTTATTTTTTCTCTATGCTGAAGGTACGTAATGTACATATATTTACGTAGAATACAAAATAGAATTTCAGGGTGAAAAGATACGCGATAAAAACGATAATGATTATCGAGAAGCGGCATCCTAGACGGAGTTCAACATAACATAAAGAATATAAATAAATAAAAAGTAGGGTGGTTCACGTCTTCCTCCACTACGTAGTCCATGCATTTAAACAAACAACTGACCAACTATTTTCACACCATACACTAACTGATACCCTACCCGATATTGAACGAGAGGCTTGGTGAGTAAGCCGTCTCATAGGCTTCCCTCCCCTCCCCCCGCGGCATAAATATTGAATTCCTACCCAATCCTAAAAAACATGATAAGGAAGGCATTCGGAGAATAGCCACGCTTGTCAATATGAATAAATAAGGATTTATGAACATCTGAGACTGTAGAAAAAGTATTCTTAGTAAAAGTAGTATGTGGGATATTTAATTATATATATCCAATTCAAAAGTGTCCTGCTGCTTGTCTGAAGAAGTCTGACTTTGGCCAGACGTTGCAGAAATACATTCGTGTTAGTGAGCACCAGGACTCTTGAATTGGATAGAATAGTCATGGTTGTTCCTGCTACAGCATTCTTTCAGTATGCACATACGGATTCACTAGCATAAAGGCATAGAGAAAGGATCAAAGAATTTAATCTCGCGCAACCCAACTCAAAGGTGTACTTAATTCGATGTATTCACCAATAAATTGATAAAACAACAACAGCAACAACACAATACGTACTTGTGTGTTCTAACAAGTGCCAGTGGAACACATGTGTTGCATTTATCGCAATGTTTATGGTTTCGTTGTCCTCCAGTCCTGCAGAATCCGCAATCATAGCAATGAAAATAATCTAGATTTCTGTCGTCATAGACGTGACAAATATCGCAGTAATATTTTCCAAACACAATGCCACAAGAAATGCATCTGAAACGTTAGAATATACAAATTATCACAGTACGAGGGCTTTTTCAAGACAAACATTCAAATTTTGAAAAATTTGATTTTGGAAAAATTACGAAAATGATGTGCTTTTTAGACTGATTTTCTAATGAAAGTCAGAGGTGTTTGTAAATTAATAATCTTCTTCTACATTTCTCATTCTCTGGGAGCAGTTTTTTTTTCAAATTACGCCATTTTTGTGTTGAAGCCTTCGAGATTAAATAGGCTACTTCTTGGCAGATTCAGATAGTATGTGCGGTCGAAAGCTTCCATTTATTATTAGCTCCAAATTTCTTGAAGTGATTCGAACGTTGTCAGTTTAAGCAACATCGAGTTGAAAATATTTTATAATAAGGGCATAGACAAAACCGAATGAGTACCGAATATGCAGATAACTAACTGCACACACGCATACAAAAAATCCACCGCTGCCAATAAGCTCGGTTTCGTGGGCGCATTCCTAATAAAATCGAAACAAAATTTGTATTTTTCATGTTCCATTCACATTAAGGTTGTTAATTTGATCATTGAATTGTACCCGGTTCAAAACTTGCATTTGTTTCGTAAGTATGTAGGCTATGTCTATATCGTGTATTGCGCATAGGCTTGCACGTAATTTACAGATTTACGTAATTACGTAATTATTTGGAGTTACGGAAGGGAAGTTACGAATTACGTAAAGTCGTAATTATTGCATTGAAACGAGCTTTCTTCAAAGCAGTCAATTTCGTCGATTGCGAAAAATGAAAGATCAACAAGTAGAAGAAGTTAGAGTTCCGGTATTCGCAGCCGTTCTTCCTACTTTTCTCTCTCTTGTTACGTAGGTGAAGGAAGGCATGACGCGTTGCCATTTACTAACCTATTATCAACTTTTCTGGCATGGACAATGTAAATTATTAACGTAGTTAAGGGAGAAGAATTGAGTAGGGCCGTTTGACGCCAACACACCTGGTTTTAACTTCTCCCGTAACTTAACCGTAGATAAGGGATAGAATTGCGTTGAGACCGATTGACGCCATCACACCTGGTTTCAACTTCTCTCGCATCTTATCTAGCATGGCCATGGCCAATGTACATAATAACCGTAGATAGGGGGAAGAATTGTGTTAAGACCGATGGACGCTAACACGCCCGGTTTCAACTTCTTCGGGTGAAATGACTAATGAACGCAGGAGATCAATCTTTCAAACATGGTCTATCAAACATTTGTATCCATTTTACTTTTATTTATTATTTACTTGTTCCAGTTTTCCGTTACTTATGGTATATATGTTCCGTTTCTATTGTATTCTATTTTATAGTCACGCGTTTAAATAGTGGGAATTCCCCACCAAGTGTGGATTAGCAATGCTTAACCATTCTTTATTGTTAATATCAACACTCGATATATGAACATGGAATATCATACTGTTTTTGGCTGTTTTATTTCAGGCTTGGGGTATAAACAGGAAAATATCCATAACCTTTCAACACGACGATCTTGTGAAATTTAATGAAGAGCTTTTGCGACGAATTGGAACCAAATAAGCGAAAAGAGCGATTGGTCACTCGCGCCAATACCTCGCCGTGATAATTAATGTCGCGCTTATCAGATAGCAATATGACGACAAAAGAGAGATTGCGCAATGAACCAACGCAACTTCGTCTTCTCGGCATCGGTAAAGCGATTGAGACGGCAGAGAAACAGCAAAACGACGGATTCCTCGCGGACCGCTAAAAATTTAACTGCTATCATATATAATCAAATATGAGCCAGTGTGTTTATTCTGTGCGAGATCCATTTTCTATTACAAAATCTTGATGTTCTGTTAACGGTTTTATCGTTATATATCAGTCCGGACTTGGACTTGCTCATGATGTTTTTCACAATTCCTCTCAATATTTCGGCCATATATGATTAACTGTCTTACCAAATGCGGCAACTTATTTTGATTTATCGTCGACTTGAATACCACCGGCACTCGACCAAACATGTGTCAATCTTGGCCGATAGGATCGCCGACTTGAGTTAGCAAATAAATGTCGTGAGTGTAAAATAAATGTCACAAAATGCATTGTTTTGCGATATAACTTTTGTATTTTCGGAGAAGGCATACCATATAAGTTCGATATTTGAATTATACTCAAATAAATAATATTTGGTCTAAATTTATCGCAAATAATGTTATAAACATTCAGTCCGCAAAATGAGTAAATGTAAAATGAAGCATGGTAATCGGAATATCGTCAATAAGTCGACATCAATAATTATTATTATGAAATGCTAACAAGGCAGTAATGTCGGATAATGCAGAAGACGCTGCAAAAACAAGTCTTCGTCGCGAGGAAAACGCAAGTATAATCAAACGAGAGAATACGCTCGTCGTTGGTTAATAAATTAGAAACCCGTAATTTTTATTCAGTACTAAGGTGGTTTTAAAAAACTATCGTTTCCATAAATATCCGTATACCAGTGTCGGTAATGATAAAATAAAATTGATCGCATAAAAATGGGAAGGTTAATTTGCGAAGGTGATAAAGTAAAACCAAAGCTAACACAAAAGATAAAAATCAGAATAAAATTAATTTGAATTCACTCCTTGATATTTGTCTTTAACATCTGCCGACGGCGTGTAGTACTGCCAAGAATATGAAAACCCAACTTCAATGTCCCATTCGGAAAAGAAGTGGATTCAATTGGTTGTTATGATAGGTTTAAATGCGTGGAAAAATATCGCAATTACGGGGTCATTACGTAATTGATTTTGCCGTAATTACGGAATTGATTTTTGTCAATTACGTGCAAGCCTAATTGCGCATGTACAATACTGTATTCGTCCTGTTTTAAAACACTCGACCGGTCAATCGCAATCGGCGTGTTGACCACCTCTGCTATATATACTTGGAAAAGTGCTTAATTTGTATATACAGGGTGTCCATAAAGTCCCTTTACAATTTTAATACTTTTATGAAATCAGTTCTCAATATATTATCGTAACCAGGATTGTTGTTTTTTAATCAGTAAATGTTTAAGTATTTTTATTTCATCTATTACATCTGTGAGGTCGAAACAATGTATGGTATCAACAAATAACCTTTCTGATTTTGAAAACTTTTTGACTTTGTCGACAACGTATATAATAAAAAAAAAACAAGAACATAATATATAAACTTACTTGGTCGAAACAAATTGCTGCGTGAAACAGATATTGCATTTCAGTCTCTGTACAATATATCTGTCCATTTGATGGTCGTCTACCCATGCATCGTGACATTTATTGCAAGGAAACCACTTTCTACACTTCATATTTGGACAAATTAAAACACAGTTGTTTTTGTAGTGCTCGCATTCCATTTTGAAAGTATTTCTTAGTATATATTTGTTATATCTAAATAACGCTATTAAGTGTGTAGCAATAAATTATAAATACGTTGGTCTACAGGTTAATAGTGGGTACTCCCGTGGTGTATGTACCAGGTTAGAGTTAGGCAATAGTTTTTTTCGATTTTCCTCATCTTAGTTCCATTGTGAGTTCGGGGAATGTCTGTGCAGCAAAAACCACACGTTTCGAATTTTATTAAACACACTGTTCTAGGAAAGGCAGACATCTTGTTAACCCATTATGTTTTGAAGTAGGGTAAATATATATTGTGGGGCAATTGGTAAGCGAAGCATATAAAGTGGAATTTTTCATGCTATGTTCTTTGTTAAGAATAGGCCTAAGCATTTGGAATCGAATAGTAAAGTATTCGGATTGATTAAGACCAAAATTTCAAATCGCCGCCATCTTGTTTCAGGGGAAATCAATCAATTTTTATTGTGAAAACATATTTTTACTATTTAATTCTGACAGAAGACCTCTTTCATTGAGATATTGAAAAGACATGCTCCTTATTATTGGTGACAACCTAGCGAACTGACTGAGTGGTGGATTCTATGTTTTCAGTAATTTATGTGTCTGGAGGACCCATTATAATGAAAAGTCACATACTAGTACGTCGTTTAAATATCTTCTGATATGAAATCTTCTGAAAATGCCCAGCCCTGGTAATAATAGACAAAATACCTCAGCGTAAGGGTAGCGTATTCACATGAAATTTCATTATATACAATTGGGACGAATAAAATACAGCATTTTTGGAATAATGGACATTTCCCTTCATTGTACCGATCGTCACACCGACTGATATAAAATTAAGTTTGCCTAAGAGATTTACTTGTCTTCTATTAGTACTTCACCTTGCTTTTTGCGAATTTGTATAATGACTATCTTTCCTCAGTAATCTAAAAGCCCTCCCAGGGTTAAACTGATATTTATCAATGAATTACCGTAGCTAACCCAAAATCAAATATTATAACTATAAAACTTGCGCTCAGGTGCTCGGTTATTATAATGATTTATTGGAATATATAACACAAAAATTGATAAAACTTCAATTTATTCCCTCCAAGTGAGCGAGGCTGTTGATTGCTACAAAGTCTGAATAAAATGCCTCAAATTCGGTGGTTAACGATACCTCATACGCACCAAAGCGTGTAACTTTGTTCGTGTGAGGTACGACACGGTTTTCAAGTAAAGTCGACTGATAAACGGCGAGTGTTATGGGTCTTATTATATGTGGCGTATGCTTGTTCCTAACGATTGTTAAACTATTTGTATAACCGCCGGGAATCCACCATTTCAGCGTTTGGGGACTAGTTGGTTTTGTTTGCGGAACTATTCAAGCATTTACTGATATTTGGTTACAAATATACATCGTTTTAGGTGACGTAATCGTCGCGATTGGGAGTCGAGCGGTTCAATCTTTCGTGAGAACAAACAATATGTTTCGAACATATTTTGACGACACACGCTTGACGATAATTAACTCGATTTTTATTGGTCGCCGAAAAAGGCGTCACACCTGAAGTCACGAGAGTTTTTGAAATCGTAAAACCCTTGTTTGTACCTATATATCAATACATACCGATAAAATGTTTTACCATTGAAGTAAGAAATTTCCTGTTATATTTTTATCACCATTATACAAAAAAAAGGGAGGGGGGGAGACCGAGAAATGTACTAAAGTGAATGAAGGTATTGCTGAGGAAATTTTGAAGTTCTCACCCATCTTGGAGTATTTGAACCATAAATGATTCGCGCGAAATTTAGTCCTCGCACAATACTACTTTTCTCTAAATCACTCAGGAAAAATTTGGTTTAGAAAAAAGAGTTCCAAAAAACATTAAAAATTATTCCATGGAGCTTTTTTACATACCATGTTTTTTCGAAAATAAGACTGAGTCTTATTTCAATTTTCTACAGAAAAATAACACTTGGGCTTATTTTCGGGGATGTCATTTATCAAAACGAAATTACAGAGTAGTGAATTACGAGATTTTCGAATATACAAAATGTGAAAACCGATATCCATTTTCTGTTAAATAACACGTTTTTATTTATAATAACTGCTAAACATAGATTATTAATCATTAATCATTTAAAACGCGTAGAAAATATTTCTTGCTATCGACTAGGTGAAAAAAAAACGCGTTATCGACTAGGATCTCATTTTAAGGGGTGGGCACAAATTAAAATCCCTATTAAAATTCAGTGTAAGAGGTTAAATTGGGGGAAACACGATATTACACCAAACAAGGCTCCATGTAAATAGCCACACACTACGTAACGAGCCTTTATTTTGGAAACACCGAAGTTTATAAACCATGCCTACGTTGATAAATTTAGACTGTGATGGACATAGGAGAGTCGGACCCATGATTTTTACCCTGTCACGCCAACACCTATATGCGTAAAGCTCTAATAAGGCACCGAGTTCGATTTTGTTTTCAATTTGCTTTAGTTTAGAAAGTTTTGATCATTGAAATCCCACTATTCGGATACAAAAATATAGAATATTGGACTCCACACATCACTCAGTATTAACGCAGCATGTGAAATACCGGTATGTGAATGCCTCTGCACAATCTGCAAAGTAGCCAAAGCTTCGTCTGAATTTTCGTTAAGTGTGCAGTTCATTACCGTAGTAAATTCTTTTAACTAAGGTAGGTACCGTAGATCTTATTCAGGCCTTTCGTCATCGAATATAGTGTTGTAGGGCGCAATGATCATATTTTACTGAAACCTCTCAGCAGTCGGAAACGAGGTGACCTCTCAAGCGATTTCTTTGCAACTCGGTGTTAAGCGAACATTTGTAATGATAGTGTTTGGATAATAGCCTATATTTCTTCATGCATTAGGAGAGGGTTATTATGTAATATTATCTTTTTACATAAACTTATTTATGCTACGAGTCAGTGTATTAAATCTGTATCCTGGTATCAGGGTAATTCGAACTGGCTTTAGGATTATAGCATTTGAGGACAAATGAAAAACTAGGAAGAATAGAATAAATCAATTGGATTTTCTTACTACAGTACTGAATAAACTTGACTCCAAAATCCCTGCTACCATAACCAACTCAACCCCAGTCAGCCAGTTGGCAAATAAAGTATAACTTGGGTACGGTAATGCTTTGTTAATGCAAGCCAAGAAAAGAAATTGACATGGCGAAATAAAATATATTTCAAATCATACTTCAGTACTTATTTCTGTATTTGAATTCCTAAAGACCCACAGCACAACACTTACTCCTATTCTATTCTTTATTCCCAGATTCCTGTATTCTTATTTTATTAATTAGTCAAACTAAACTATAACTGTATAATGTCTTTGGAATCAATTCGTTTCAAGAATGGAAAATTGCACATTTTGGATCAATTACAACTACCCAAGAAAACTATTTATGAAGAGATTAAAACTGTAGAAGATGGTTGGAATGCTATCAAATCTATGAAAGTACGAGGCGCCCCAGCTATTGCAATGGTGGGCTGTTTAAGTTTGGCTGTCGATCTTGAGGACCAGAGATTTGAACTGACAGATGATGTTCTGAATTACGTTGAAAAGAAACTTGAATATCTGATTACTGCAAGACCAACTGCAGTTAATATGACGAAAACTGCGAATGAATTGCTTGACTATGCAAAACATTTGGCTTTAGAAATGCCAGAACCAGAATGTTTGAAGGGAACTATCATTGAAAGAATTGAATATTTTTTAAAGAAAGATATAAAAGATAATGAAAGCATTGGAGAGCATGGCTCAATACATATTATGAACAACCCAAAGTGTGTTAAAAATGGAGGAAAAGTTAATGTGCTTACACATTGTAACACTGGTTCCTTGGCAACTGCAGGTTACGGAACAGCATTGGGAGTTATCCGCTCCTTACATACAAAAGGATTTGTTGAACATGCATATTGCACTGAAACAAGGCCTTATAATCAAGGAGCACGACTTACTGCATATGAACTTATACATGAAAAAATTCCTGCCACTTTGATCGCAGATAGTATGGCTGCTTTATTAATGAAATCAAAACCAATATCAGCGGTTATTGTAGGCGCAGATCGTGTTGCTCGAAATGGAGACACAGCGAATAAAATTGGGACTTATCAATTAGCAGTTGCGGCAAAATACCATGACATTCCGTTTTACGTCGCTGCCCCTTTTTCTTCAATTGACCATGACACTGAACACGGGGACCATATTGAGATAGAGCACCGCCCTCCTGAGGAGCTGTTAAGCATTCATGGTGTCCAAATCGCAGCAGAAGGAATCGGATGCTGGAATCCCTCGTTTGATGTCACACCGTATGAGCTTGTGACTGGAGGAATAATAACTGAGCACGGTGTTTTTAATAAAGAGGAAATATTGGAGAAATTAACAAATGGTTACTGAGTTTGTGATCTAAAATTATAGAAGGTGACATGGGTGTTAGTAATGCAAAACTTCAGTTTGGTGATAAGTATGGATTGGTGCAATAAAAGCTAATATGTGGTGCCTTTAATATTTGAAGAAAATATTTTTGAGTAAAACATTCTTCAAGATCAGTCAATATCATTGTGTTGCTTTCCTCTTAATTTATCGAATAGTACTCCAGATGAAATCGCTTTGACTTAACTTTTCTTCGGACCTGTGTTGAGAATATTAGACCAGTGTACCCCTTTTCAGCTTTATATGTTTACTCTGGTGCCTTATTTTGAATTTTGCACATATGCGCCCCTTGATTTTGCCTATAGATTAATTTCTGAGTAACATTCAAATTTTTATTCATTTTGCTGAATCTCTCATACCTGCCTATGCATCACAAGTGCAGCCCGCACACGGCACACTGAATGAGAGCGAAATACTGAAAATGATTTAATTTATTACAAAAGTAAGTTTGTAAGATGCTTGTGTAGTATTGTTTTTTTCTATATTGCAGGAGGTCACAAACATGGCTGAGCAGGTTAGCTGCATACTGAAAGAATTCTTCTCGCATCATGAGGCAATGTAGACAAACAAGATTTGATTCCACTCTTTAGTGTTGTCAGCTCGTGCATTTGCATGTGTGGAAAGTTTTAGACTTTTTTCTTCAGTCAGCTTCATTCGCTTCGTAATCTTTTTGCTGGTGTTTCGTCTTGTGTGCTCTGTTGTGAATCATTGTCAGTCGTGGCTAAATAAAAATTAATTCTCGATTACAATCTGTATTTAATCGAATCTATCATGACAAATGCTACAATTTTTATCGGTCACTTGATTGTACTCCTGCAGCCACTACTGTTGTTAGGAATCTTTTTCATGGCACTGCTGTTACGTTCTATGGCAGTGGTTCCCAACCAGGGACCCCCATGCCAGGCCCAAAACTGATTTTCCTTATACTAGTTTCATTGCTTCTTCATTGGTGTTTTCACTTTGTTGAGCCTGAATATTTTGAACATAATGGGATTTGGAATCTGCGATTTGGAATCTGCCAATCTGGGTAACACTATAAATACCATTGGAATGATAAACTGGGGCCACAGGGCATAAAAGGTTTGGAACCACTGTTCTATGGCACCATTTGTCATAAACCTTAATTGAGATCTATATCAATCCATAGCTCTTGTGATTTTAGTTATTGCCATTTGCTCAGAGATGAGTCTCCATCACTTCTGAGTGAAAACACACGACTCTACTTAGAGCAAACTTGCTTGAAAAGAAATAAATCAAGCGACCTCTAACCTGCAAAGTTGGAAGATGATTGGTTAGAATAACTTGGTAGTGTCATTGAATTAGAATTGAAGATCGCAGAATCTCTTGTATTACTGCTGTCATCTTGATTAAATAATGTTGAATCCATTGATTTCTCATCTTGCATGAAAGAATCTCGTGAACTTTCATCGTCAAGCTCATTAACTGAGGAAGGTGTTGAGACATTTGTGCTATCTGTCGAACAAGGAAAAATTTTGTTTACATATTCTTTCTTCTAACAGGAATGAAGTGGAGAAAATAAGATTAACTGACAAAAACATTTTGTTGGAACGAGCTAATTTTTGAAATCATCAGTACTGCAGAAACGCTAGAAAATAACAAAAATAGTAATTCCATGTCAAAATTTGGATTCAGATTATGGCTTAGAATAATGATAACCCACTTTGAAGCCGCTGTGTATTATTGTGTAATAATTATACTTGCCTTCACTACTTTATAAGTTGAAAATGTTATAATCAGATGAAAATAGGTTTCGGAGTTATGAAGATGTATATTTTTTAAAATTCATGCCGTTTAGGCTCCCCTGTCAAGAAATTCAATGAAGCATGACTAGCCATAATGATTTCTCTTAATCCTAGTTCTTAATGATAATAACCGCTTATGTATGGGTTAGTAAATTGTACCGAAGTGAATTGGACACTGATTTTTATTATATGTTAATCTTATTAATGATATATGATTCGTTATAGAAAGTCAAATTCAATTACTTGGAGCTGAGTTCTCTAAAGCTTCAAGAAATTTATTCCTCGGTGGATTTTCAGCTGAAATTCTTTGCTCAATATTTTCTGGCTTTTTTGGTTCCTGTTTTGGAGGATCAGGGTCAATCATTGGAACCCATTTGAAAATTCTAATTGTTGTATCAGCGATAGTCACCCATTTCTTTTCCCTGTAAAATGTTGTGGTTTATAAAAGTGAATATTCATCTGATTTCTCATAATTGTGATATATAAGAAAATATGGATCATTCATCTCACACAATATGCCATTTGTGTAAAGTAAAAAAAGACCTCTGGTTCCGAAACAATGAAAATTATTATTTATAGCATTCCATTAGACTTAAAATTACATTCTAAATAAGTGAGTCCATGTATCTGGAACAGCTCGTAAGTATTTCCTAAAACGACATGGACAGTAACTGGACGAAAAGCTGTGGTGCACCATAGTACAGTATTAATGAATTGTCTTTTCAACTTTCCTCTCCATTTCACACAAAAAACAATTACCAATATGGGCCATTCCAAGCAAAAGTTGAATTCCATCTATTATTTTTGTATTTTCTAAAACAAAAGACATTGGAATTTTCATTCATTTCACCAGATTTTTGATGGTTTATAAAAAATGCCCTGAAATGTATAAATTTTGATATAATTGACATATTTTGTGATGATTCGTGAGACAAAGTGTTTGATTGTGTGATACAGTTATTTCATATGAAATAGACACAGTGGATTTAAATTAATAGAGTTTAAATGTTTGCAGTGCTGTAGGACATTTCTTCACCCATTTAACGATTTATTACCAGAATTTGAAGAGATGATAGAGGTCGCTGTTCCGAGATGAAAAAAAATTTCCTGTAGTGTCATATACAATATGCACATTATTACCATGGATTTACAGTGTTACATTAGGTTACTTGAGCAACACATAGAGACATTCAGCAACACATTCAGCTACTGTACCAGAAAATATTATGGGCTCCTGCTGAACCATCACAAAAATTAACAGCACAACACAATGTACTGTTATTGCATGGTGAATTCGCCGTCCTGTAGTGTCACTCTATATTTTTTGTATCTACCAAGTAAGTCTTGGGTGCAACTTTTGAGCAATTTTTTTCATATTCAATAAAGCAACTGATTGGACAATGAAACAAAAACATGTAGCTGAAAGTGTGAAAACAAAATGCAAAATTTCTGGAATTGTTCTGTAGTGTCACTTGGAATAGCCCATATCTGGATATAGAGACAATGTAACAGCAGTTTGGACTATCTAAGCATTGCAATAATTTATTATAGTCTTTTCACAAGATGGATCTATAACGAATAAAATGCATGATCAAATTCGTTGGGGGAACAAAATTTCCAACTTTATTTTAAGACATGCAAAGAAAGTTTTGCTCATTTAATAAGTATAAGTTTATTTCGACTCCACAATTAGCATAACAATAAAATGATTGGTGACTTCTCACCATTTTCTAACTTTGTCCAGCGCTGACATAACACGTTTGATGTCATCCTTAGCTCTACTTCTCGTCTCCGCTCTCGATGATCTCCCAGACGACATTTTGTTGATTTCTACTTGGTTTTTCTGTTTTTACAAAGTAAAATATTCCAGCACCAATGCAAGCAGTTAATGGACTTAACCAAAGTGTAGCCGCTTTGGACTTAACAACTAACAAGCTGTTCGGTTGTGGTGACAGGATGGTACCATATGGCTGCCTTTATCATGGTTTAAACTGAAATAACAAAATTGAATATTTTATGATGTATTTTTAAAAGATACATGCTATTAATGAATTAACATCATTTTCCTCCTATTAATTATAAAATTTCGATGCGAAAAATTGCATTAGTAACGAGAGTATGTAACATATATAATGCGTATATCGGACTCGGGACATCACTATATAATTGTGTGCTCTCTGGTTTCATCCTCCGGCGTGTAGTAATTTCAATATGATTTGAATTAATATTGTTGTGACAATGAATAGTAGACGTAGGAGTTTTGGGTACAATAAAAATTAAATTTTCAGTTTTATATCGACATGTACTCAAAATTTTAAAGTAAACACTTTCGGAGACATTGTATTGATGGCTTCATGGAAACTCAGGTAAATTTTACACTGAGAATCTAAATCCGCGTAGGAAATATAATCACGATTTTTGGCATTACTCATTTGTCACGCTGGAGGGAGGTTGTAGTTGTTTACGTATATTTGTTAGTCTTCTGCTCGTTTTACATTTTTCGCGTTGTTAGTTAATTCGGTACACCTGTACATAAGGGATATATTCAGAAATATGAGGCCAAGGCGGAAAAGAAAGTTGACCAATTATGGCGAAGGTAAGTTACCGATACCGGTACCGGTACCGTACCGTACCGGTACCGGTGCTGTACTTCGTTATTTACCCATATTTTTAGTATTTATTATTTTTAATTATTTATATTTCAGTAGACTATTTCACTTTCCGGTAACACTTTGGATTTGTGGACTTTATGGTAGCAGTAGGCTAGACTACTACAGAAATATGGCCCCTAGCGTACACCCTGACAAACATAAACAGATAAATGTGATGAAATATTCAGCCCAAATTAAAGTCTATGTGCTGCTATCTGGCTATTTTTATATGTTCCGAAGCTGAGATGTGTGTATTATACCCTGATATCTGTCAGTTTGTTGTGTGTGCTCATTTGTGTGAGTTTGTACAGTAATAGATAACAGGGTCTCGTGTAGTTTTGTACCCCAAGTACTTCTTGTGGTTGAACATAACGATTTTGCACATGTCAATCCTAACCCCCACCTGTCGTATAGTTTGAAGGGCTTAATTACGTCACTGTGACCGCACAGTGACATAATTTTTAGATGACGCGGTCAGGTGGGGGTTCGGATTGACATGTGCAAAATTTGTTATGCTATGCTCACTGGAAGTACGAACTACACTAGACCCGGATAACTTATGTATCAATAAATCTAATTTCAAGTTGATAGGCTTCGATTTTTTAAATTTTTAACATATTCCTGACTAGACTAGTCACTATTTATCAAAGACTTTTTAAATGACTTAGGTCATCTAAATTGAAAGACTCTGACTCGTCATCAACTAACTGGCAGGGAGACCTGACTCGACTTAAGACCCAGACGAATCCAGTACGGCACAGTTACCAAATTCCAAAAATGTCCCTGCACTTGGTTCAACAAAACAAACACTCTGTGTCTCACAAACGAGGGGTGACTGGCAGATGCGTCAGATCGCGCCATCCTTGTCTTGATAATAATTTAAATTAATTGCGGCCGCCATGTGACATTACCAAAATTGCGTTGTTTTGCTAAAAAATCTCTTAAATGCTTATAGAAATTCTTTTCCTTCTGTGGATCGGATTTTTTTTCCAAGGGAATTCAATAGTGATGTGTTTAAATTGCGCTTTTTACAGTTTTTTGCGCGGTGGCGTTTTGCTGTTTTGTGCCGATATGGAGGCCCAGACTGTCTTGAGAAGTTGAGCTCGCACTCACTGTTATAATAAATGTCTTTGTGGGGGATTTAAGAATTTGTGAACTGTGTACTGGTATCATGGTTTGACACGCGACTTTTGTTTGACAATACAAATCTGTCCTCAAGAAATATGTATAGCCATAGTTAAAATGTGTCTAAGAGTTTAATTTCAATTTTCTATTAACATTTAGGTCATCTTCATTGGATTGAAGAATCTCAACTTCATCGAGCGTTGATGAAATCATTGAGAGAAAAATCATCCAAATCCCGAACATCCTCAGAAGATGAATCAAATTGCAACATTCCATCTCCATCCAAAATGCCTCGCTTGTCCGTTTCTGTTAGTGCATCGTCCCAACAAGAAAACATCAATCTCAAATGCAGCGTTAGCGTCGAAAATATTTTACATAAAACAAATATGAAAGTTGAACTAGAAAAAATTGATCACGATGGTTCAAAAAAATCATGGTTGAAAAAACGAGTTTTAAGATCTCAGCGTCAAGATGAAGAAGATGGGGATATTGCATCACACGCTATTATGATGCACCCCAGAAACTCAGAAAACTTTGCAGAAACAATTTCAGGTTCAAATTCTCATCAAACGAGCGGAAATCAAGATGGCCAATCTGGTTCTTCTTCGAAGACTGATTCCCCAATTAGAGCACAGCGCAAGTTCGCTTCGAATGCTACTCCACCAGAAAATGTAAGACGAAGCACTCGTTGCGAACGAAAAATAAAAAATGTGCAACAAGAGAGTAAACATGTTACAATACCTGCAGAGGATAAAACTTCTGAATCCAATGACCGATTACCAGAGACAAGTGATTTTTTGCATTTTCTTTGTTTTAGGAACACCCCTATTCCTGTTAAAGATTGTTTCAATAGATAGGCGTTCTGGTTAGGATAGGATTTTCATGTTTACCTTATGGTGAAAAGATGACGAGATGGCATAATGGCGCAATAATTTAGCCTTTTATAATAAATAATATCCTGAACTGTGTTAGCATTGCAATTTATACATCTCGACTTCAAATCCTATTCCCACCACCTCACCTATGGTTGATAGACGCACCTATTGAGTTTGATAGGCGATGCCAAACTAGAAAAATATTAGCTTCTTACATGTTATTACGGTAGGTATAAGTTTCGGCACTCCTGTAGTATGTGTACCAGGTTAGGGTTAGGCCATAATCTTATTCCGATTTTTCTTCCTTTAGTTCTAGTACGAGTTCGGGGACTGTCTGTGTTAGCCAAGTGAATATACCCCCTGCCCATAGGTTTCAGTCACTTTACACCATGGAGATATGGCGAATCACGGTATCTTGAACTATTACCATTCCCAAGGATACTTATTAATCAGTTAGTTGTTCTATTTGCATAAAATTTGATACTGGACGGACAGGGTAACATAGGTGTTCCTAATACTTGGCAAGATGGATTGTTATTTGTTTAAATTTATCGAGTCTTGGAGTCATTTTTGAATGATTCCTGGTATGACATAAATCTTGCCCTACAGACTTGATCCTAGGAGTGACTAACAATGTACAGTATTGGGATGTGATTACTTTGTTTGAAATACTTTATTTATTAGATATAAGTTTCTGCTGTTGAAGTGCTTTGCTTGGAGCATGGAGCATTAAAAAGAAATTTCTTCAAATTTCCCAAGTCCCGGAGTCATTTAAAAAAAATTGTGGTTGGAGTTGGACGTAAAATTGCCCCTGGCTCACGGCACTTGGTGAGGACTAACTGACAATATATTGTTATTTCATTACTTTTTTGAAATTTGAAGAAGCTAATCATTTCTTGAATCTATGATCTTTGATTTAAATAAAAGCCAACTCTTTGAATTTGTGAACAAAATTTGCAACTGTGGTTTACATTTATGCAAGTTTATTATTTGTTTCTACTTTTTCCTTAATTTCACAGTTTTTTTGACTAGTTATGGATAACATTATTGTAGTTTCTTTTTCTTGTATGAATTTCCTTCTAACAGAAGAAGTATTTGAAAATTATTTTATGGTTGCTAAACACCACAACATTGCCTTGTTTATGAACTGACAAATAATAAATGATTTTTGTTCTTTTTTCAAGTTTCTTTACATTTAAATTTTAAATACTGTAATAAATGAAGTAATGTCAACCAAAGAAATTAAATCAGCCTTGAAAGCTGCAAAAACTTCAATCCAAGCCAAAGATTTTCAAACTGCTCTTCAACATTGTGAGGTTAGTGTGGTCACTGTGTAATGGGAGTATATATTCGTGTTCTTATGTTTTACATGAGACGTTCTCGAACGACGTGTTTAATTATAATACAACACACAGAGAGAAAATTTAGGCTCAAATTAACGGGGAAATACTACAACAAAATTTTACAACATATGCTCATTTAAGCCACTTCTCTCTCAGCCTTATATTTATGACAAGTTCTAATTTCTAGCATATAAATGTTTTTATGGAAATGGATTGATACAACCCAACTCACTCGAAATTATCTTAAGTTAGGGTGTCACGGCAACGTTTGGAAACCATTGTGTTTGCTACTGACAAATGCAGGCCTCTTTAACAGAATTTAGTCGACCATCAGTAATCAGTCAGTAATCAGTAATTTAACCATTATAAGACTTTATCAAGCATGCACAAAAAGTCTTAGTTGCTTAGTTTTTGCAGATGTTCATTACACCATAAAGATGTGGAACTGCCCAAAATGCAATTTTCTATGCCCTTCATTCTATAAAAAGCTATATATAGCAAGCATATAGCAATTTAAAAGTAATGTAGATCTCTCTGGCGGTTGGGGATAAGATTCCTAGGCTCGGATACGGAAATAATGAAGGCAGGCTAGTTGAGTGGTTTTTAACCTATTTGGTGGTGGGGAATCCCAATGAAACATTCCTTAGGCTTGAGGGATTTCTGTGCAATATTTTGTTTGAATTGAATAAACTATAAATATATGTGATGCAAAACAAAATGATCTTCAAAGTGTAGCAAGTTTAATAATAGTGTAAAATAGGTGTGATTATATTTGAATAATATGCTTTTGAAGACATAGACTGGGATTTGTACGTGCTTTTTGATATAAAATGACTCCTATTTATTTTTTAGTTGGTGCTAAAGAAGGATGCACACAACTATAATGCACTGGTGTTTGCCGGCTTATGTTATTCTGGAACAAATCAAAATGAGAAAGCGAGAGAGAAATATAAAGTTGCAATTGAAAGCCAACCAGACCAAATCTTAGCTTACCATGGTATTTGCACTAATTTTATTTGTTGTTGTACATGATAAATGTTCTTGCAGTTTATCAGCAGTACTTCACTTGTGTAGCAGTTCCAGCCAAGTAGCTAATTCATAATTGAAGGGCTTTTGTTTACTGAGAAGTTCTCCTTTGTTTGATATGTTGTGTTTCTCTGCAGTTAATGGATGAATCAGTTTCAATATACAGTATTTGAATATATATAACTTTTAGAATTCACTAAAAATCTATATATTTACTATTGATTTTCAAATAATGTTTGAACCCTAATATATAACCCCAAAATTTTGCTATCTTATTTATACGCACGGGATCACTACTTTATATGAAATATGGCAACCGCCTATTTCTTCATGCTTGTTTGCTTCAGTCACTCTTGTCAGCTGATCTTTTCACCAAACTTAGTATTCACTAAGTCACTAATAATTTTGGCTTATATAGTATATACCACTAATTGAAGCCAATTATCATTTGTGAAAATATTTGGGACTGCATCACTTGACTATAGAAGCATCCAAATGCTTGGCTCAGCTGAGCAGCTTTCGGACAACTCTATCCAGCTATTTACCTGAATTTTCAAATTTCAAGGTTTTGCAAACTTGTACATGAAGCATTGGAAAAAGAAGAAAACAAAGGAAGAATTGGATGAATTGATTTCAATTAATGAGAAGTTACTGAAACTCACGGACAAGTAATAATTTGCTTTTTTAGGGGAGGTTTTGATTTCTCTGATATTTTTAAGAACTTCAGTTACTGAATTTGGTGAAGGATGTTTTACCATTTAACTGAAGAACAGAGAAAAAAACTAACCTAGTTTAAGCAACAGTGAATTCTTAAATTTCAAACAAAATGAAAGTTCATTGTGTTCGTTTTTATAATTCATCAAGATCTTGATCAATTATTGTTTCCTATAATGCATCAATATATCAACTCAAACATGGAACATTGAACCAAGTCTTGAGTTGTACAGTGGCACTTTTCACCCTTCTTTGCCGTCTCAAAGTCTCAAAAGTAGAGTGGAAAGGATGGAAGGTTTTAAACCCTTTTTAGGTAACTTTAATTATTGAAAAAGTTAAAATTTCATTATTTTTTCAGAAAAGATACAAATAAAAGAAGAGAGCTTCTTCTCAACTTATGTAATGTTAACATAGAAGCTGAACTCTTCATTAAGACATTACAAATCATTTCTGATGAACTGGATGTCAATGATAGTGAGGAAGATTGCACAACATCACCATTTCATGAAATTGTTTGCAAAGCTTTAGAAAAATTTTCAGGAACGGATTGGACAGACTTTGGCAAGTTTTCTGGTTTGGTAAGATCTGATATAGATATTTGAAAATTAATTTAATGTTTTAAAATTTTGTGTTTTGCTAACTCTCAGCACTTCCATTTTTAATTTTCATTATCCAATTGTTTACTTCACAATGAAGTGAAATTTTTGCTATAAAACTAGATTTAATTGAAAATTTTTTTAAGGAGAATATTCTCAAAATATTGGATCATGCACTTACAAAGAAGAAGTAAAGATTTATCTCCTGAGCCTGCAACTGAGCAAATCAGAATAGTATGAATGACAACTACAAGACAAAGAAATTTTCAATTGTTATTACTATGAAATCTTGCGACATCTTTTGGACACCCGTAATTATTAATTATATAGGCTACTTGTCTTTGATTACTTATTTGTATATTTTAGATTGAGAAATCGTTCAACTATTTACTCCAATCACCTTCCAATGAAACAAAAGAAATAATGTCATATCTTAAAACTTATGTCAAATTCCTACAAAACAACTCAAATATTTTGGAAGAAAAATTGACAAATTTACTCGATGTTTGTGTGGGACTGCATAATAAATATCCAGATGAAATACTACTGATGGAAATTATAGTGCAAGCACATCTTCGAAATTGTGAGTATTGTTTTTTAATTATGCAATTCAAGAGTCCTGCACACTAACACAAATATATGCATAGTATAGTATTTTATTCCTGCTACAGCATCCTTGCATGCATACAGGATCCACTTGCGCAAAGGCATTGAGGAAGGATTGGGAATTGGTCTCGCTTAACCAACGAATGAAAAGAATTATAATTTTACATTTGATGACTTCCTGTATGTCAATTTCAATATCAACCCAGTTTTCAAATGTAATAATTTTTTTCAGACCTAGTTTACTGCGAAGGTTTTTTTTTTCTGATAAATATAAAAGATGATTTAATGGCATGTTGTCTAGAAAAGTAAAAAAACCCATCAGTAAACCAACGCCATCAGATTATCTAGGTTGCCGCTCCAACACTCAATCGGTACTGGTAATTGGACGAGAGGCCATGTTCGCCATGTGATTAAGCCTTCTTATTGTCTTTCCCTCTTCCATGATAAATCTAAAAATCCTACAAAAATTTTATTTTTAGATGACCATTCTGGTCTCCCTGACCTACACAATTTGGTCGCAAAACTGAAAGACTCTTCCAGTAATTTCGCTGAGCTTGGAGTTGCTTTTGTTGAATATAAAGATGGAAATTTTGAGAAAGCTGTGACGAGTCTCAGTGATGCTATGAATGCAAATCCTACTTATATGCCTGGTTGGATAATATTGTGCGAAACTTTGGTGAAACTGCGTAAATTCACTGATTTGAGACAATTTGCCAGGTAAGATTTATGTGATTTTGTTCCATTTACAGTAAAAAAAAAATCGGGATGGGCGTAATCAAGGCGGACGGCCAAATAAAATAGAAACTTTGATTGGATTCGAAAGGTGATATAATACAGTGGAGATTGTTGACTCTTGATTCAACAATAATTTTAAATTGGAGCGTTATAATTCTGTCGAATCTAGCAAGTTTACAAAGCTTGGCGCTCTTTTTAAGAATTGCCATATCCACTACCTGTATAGGATAGTTAAAATTTAATCGCAGGTTATGCGATAAAAACTAGCTCACTGAGGGATGGCTATTGTGAATGCTGCCCCTTATGACAAAAACAGGCAGTGCGACATCGTATTGATTTGGGCCCACTTGGCTTTTCCAACACCCATCAGTCTATTTCGCCCATTCAAGCGAAACAGGTAGTGCGATACTTATTTAAGCCTTTTCCTTCACGGCTCGACAGCCAACATCCACCAGGCTTATTAATAAATTAAATTTATTGTTCTTGCAGGACCGCATTGCTTCAATACAAACAAATATCTTCACATGGTAAACCGACTTGGTTATTACCTATAATACCTTTGGATGTTATTCAATATGAGTTAAGTAAAAATCTGGCGACTGGGTTGTGTGGATCACATATTGAAAATGAGATCATGAAAAGTATCGGAACTTTTGAGAAGGTATGTTGAGATTCGTTGATACATTTTTCTCCATATAGTCTGAACCACTCAATTTGAGAGAAGCTCTTCAGCTGGTCATTAGGCAGCCCATCGACTTGTCATTGCAATTATGCACTCTACTTGAGAGTCTGGTTTTCCATCCTCAGTTTTACCTCTAGTACAGGGGTTCCAAAACTATATTGGCCGCAGGCCAAAATCAGAATCGAAAGGATGTTAGCGGACCGGAAAAAAACAATGGCGCTTTATGTCATATTGCCACAGAACTGGAATAGTTCGACAAATCGCTGAAGTTTCTCTTCAATACGGAAATACGAGTCTAGTTTATGTTTTTATTTGACATATCGAACCTTTTTTTACATAGCTGAAAACTAAATTACTGCCCTACGTAATCCTAATACCGGTACGTATAATTGAGATACTGGTATTTTACCGGTTTGGTCCGGTTAAAACTGGATTTCACCGGTTTGGTCCCGTTAAAACTGGATTTCACCGGTTTGGTCCCGTTAAAACTAGATTTTACTGGTTTGGTCCGGTTTTCTATTTTCAGTTTTATCTGTAGTATACATTCTTTACTCAAAAAAATTACTCTTTTCAGCTGGTTCTCAGGAAGCCCAATGACTTGTCACTACATATTAGGATGACAGAAGGCTTTATTAAGTTGAATGAATATGATAAAGCATCGGATTCTATTAAAAAAGCTTTTGATATCGACTCAAATTATTTTGAGGTAAAAGCATGGACGGAATATATTCGTTTCAAGGTGAGTATTATACGTGAAATCTTATAAATAGGTATGGGATTAGTTAGTCGGTTATTTATTTCCGGAAACATGGACTTGAATGCCTTTTTCCTGGCTACTGTGTGTTTTCATATTTATTATGAGCTGTTTTGTTTTAAATTTTGAAAAAAATCATATTGTCATATCATATGAATTTTCCTATGACCAATTATACAAGCTTCGGTTGCCATGGTAATTGCCATGAAAATAGTATTACTACATTTTTTTTTATTTGTGCATGTGCTGATAACCTATATTCACAATTAACCCTTTTCAGAATCCTAATTTTTGAGTCATGGAAATAAGAACATCAATATCATTTGTCATTTTTCATCTTTTCAGACTGAAGACGAGCCATCAGCTGCAATCAGCAGATTGCGAAATATTGCTCCACCGTCAGGTTTATCAAGATTTCTTCTTGGGAAAGCTATGTGGGAAGCAGGTGGTGAATACAGAACTGAAAAGAAGAATTGCTTCACTGCTTTAGTTGAGGTAAAGCAATAGAAAGTATTCAAAAATAGCTGGTAGACTTCCATGATCTCTGCATCATTTCAGGCTATCATGAGAATACAATTAGCAACCGGTTACTGAACTTGCCAGTTCATTTTGAGTGCTGTGTGCCTCATCAGCATTCTTGCATAAGTGGTATACTGTTGCTAATATTATGTTCACTAAAACCCCTAAGGTTTCCCCAGTTTATGATTTATTGGATCTCGGAATTTCAATTTTTAACTTAGTTTATGAGAAAATTGTGAGAAACTTGAGAAATTTTCTGATAATTGGCCCATTTTTTTTGTTGCTGCCATGGTAACAAATATTCGTTCCGGACTTTCGATTGAACACAGGATGACAGGATAACCCACAAATCGTTCCAGCCATTCGACGCTACAGCTGGACACACAGACAGATAGACAGACATACAGAAGAACTGAGAATAGGGAAATTCTAGAGTGGAGATCCAATTTATTTAAATTTTTTGCATTCAATATCATTTTAATTTTTTTTTGTATTTATTTACATCTAAAGGCTGCCAAAGACGACCCATATCGGAGTGAAATATTTTTTTTGCTCGGCCATTTTTATTCCAAAGTTCAACACAATCTCTCTAGAGCAAGAGGTTGTTATCAAAAAGCTTATTCATTGGATCAGAGTCATGAGGAAACTGCGGTCTGTCTCGCTGATGCATACATAGCCGAAGGTTTGTCTTCTATATTTTAGGGTAGAGTTTGTTACATTTGTTTGGGCCTTAACTAATGCCGGTCTACTCCTATGTAAGACGAATTAGCCGGGTCCCAGTCTTCTTAAAGATAGTAACAATTGCCGAAAATTGAGATTTTGTATTATAAATCGAATCTGTTATTGCGTTTTACAAAGTACGCGATTAAATCAACTTTACTTTAAATTCATGAGTCTGGCATGTGCTCTATAAAACCGATGGCCCATACATAAATATACATGAGTGTGAGATAATTTATTTAGAATTAGCATGTCAGCAATGAGTTAACCTAACAGCATTAATCTCAAACGACACACACTGGAGAAAGACCGCATAAATGTGTAATTTGTGGCAGGGGGTTCACTCAGAAGAGTAATCCGCCAGCTTATTGGCAATTGCACAAGCCATTTAGGCCCCAAATTCGGCATAAATGAATCCACAGTACACTGACTTTATGTACCTTTTTTATTACTATTTCAGGGGACACAACTTCAGCAATCAAGTTGTATGAAAACATCACAAAAGGATTCGGCTCAACTGGGGGAAAGTGGGCGTGGTTGAGGCTTGGTTTATGCAAATTAAAAGCAAAGGATATTTCAAATGCTATCAAATGCTTTCTATCAGCTCTGAGAATTGATGCAGATGATGCGTAAGTAAATTTTAACTAAATTACCATAGTAAATGTAATCATCGGATGCTTTTGCATTTGGGCCACTCCGTGATCAACTATGGGTCTGAGTTTGCGGAATCCTGCCCTAATGGTAGGGCTTTAGACCATGCTCACCACCTCACACAGAATGTAGAAAATTGGTAGGTTAGATACTCCAGTCCTTCCAAAATATAGAAGATTATCATCCATCGGTGGGTACTTGCATAAAGGCATAAATATCATAAAAAATATAGAATGCTCTTTATGTTACAGTATTTGTTGGGAGTGCCTGGGAGAAGGCTATCTACAACGCGGTAGCTATTCTGCATCATGGAAAGCATTCGATCGAGCTCACCAACTCAATCCAAAGTCTGTTTACAGTCTTTATCAAATGGCAAAAGTAAAACAAGTGCAAGGTCTATACGCTGATGCTATTGTGGAATATAATGAAGTTTTAAACTTAATGGAAGACTATGTACCTGCTCTACAAGGTAGTTTTGTTTATATGATTGACTGACTAAATATAGAGTTTATTGTTGGTTCACTTATACACATATATATATTCACTCTATGCAAGGCTTCAGACAAGTATGAGTGGTACAGTGGTTCTTGACATCACTTCTCCTCACACTCAACTCAAAATCCATCAGCAATATACCTGCACTGCATGGTACTCATGATACATGTTTTTTTGTACATTCATATTATGCTCAGCTTAAGATTGTTTCTTTTTGAGTTGAGTTTTTTACAATACTCTCAGAACAAGGCCCCAAACAAGTTTGCAGGCAGGAACAAGAGGCAGGAGACTTTTGTAAAAATTTGGCCATTTAAATTTGCAAAAATAACTAAATCGTTAACTAAGGGAATAATCTAGAGTTGTTTTTAATCACTAGCCTTTTTTCAATAATTGTCTGCAGTTACAAATTATAAGTCAATTTATGATTTTTTTTAAATCTACATATTGCTCGTTTGAATTTTGATTGCTGGAAAATAGCACTCTGAGATGTATTCGAATTTAGTTAATTAAATTGGTAAATTTCCTAGTTTATTTATATATAACATTTTCTAGGTTTGGCGGAGAGTGAACTGTCACTTGGACGACATATGTTTCATGAAGGTCGATATCAAACTGGGATTGAACATTTTGAAAAAGCAATAATGAATCTGACAGTTGCTTGCTCTTTAAGGTAAGGAGATTTTTCTCTACTTGAAAACACCAACCGAAGAAAGTTTGCTTGAAACACTTCAAATGATATATGTGAATTCCTCTTCAATTACTCCCGTAGTGTGTGTACCAGGTTAGGATTAGGCCATAATTTCATCTCGATTTTCTATATTTCAGTTCTATTACAGGTTCGGGGACTGTCTGTGTTAGCCAAGTGAATATACCCCCTGCTCATAGGTTTCAGTCCCTTTATACAACTTGATGTAAAGTAGGCGAACAGGATTAGTTACCCTCATATTGGTACACATACTTCTTCAGCGCCCTTTTTATTATGATACCCATCTCCTAGGAAAGATCTTTGTTGTCTTTGGAAGTTGCTTGGAGATTGCTGTGTTATGGTACAATCACTAGATGTCAGTGTTTTGCAATTAAACGTACCCACGATCTTCTTGAACCCGAATGATAAAGATATTGAGAATACGATGAAAGCTGGGAAAAATGAGGTAAGACAATGTTGTTAAAATTCGTGATACCAATTTTTTTTTATTTTACGCATTTTTGAATGCGAGGTATTATTAATCATTTATTGTGATTTGCATCTTGTTTGGCATTCAGTGTTCGCCCATAACTTCTGCTCAGCTGATCAGAAATAAAAGGAGTCTTTGTTACATTTGAGTGAGCAAACTTTATATAGTTACAGGGGTCACCCGTATCTTCGCTCAGAGATGAGTTGACTTTCCTCTTGAGTGAGTGTACTCGAACAAACTCTTTCGGAATAAAATGAGTTTTTGTGACATTTGAGTGTGTAAGTGTGACCTCACGTTGAGCAAACTTCATATAGTTACATTGGCTGCAGATTGGATGAGTCGATTTTACTTTTGAGTGAGTCTGCTTGAACACTCTCTCTCTCAAAATAATTTATTGTTATATATTTCAGATTCTCTCCCTCAGCACTAAGTTTTATTGTCGAGCGATTCAGATCCAACCAGACAACGGATCATTATGGCACGATCTTGGTCTCAGTTATTTCAGAAGAGCTGAGGAAAGTAGAAAGAATGCTAGAGACAACATAGGAGAAATGGCTGATAATGCTGTGAATGTAAGCGATTTGTTCAAAGTAGTTATTATATGTAATTGTAAACCACGGTTATGTACTTTATATTTGAATCTTTTGGAAAAAATTATTGGGAAAAAGAGACTGCAAGCTATATATATGTGGACACAAAGTACTGCTTTTAAATCAATCACTGACCTTTTGCAAGACATAGTCAACGATTATTATTATATATTGCATATAAGCCGACCCTATAAAACTGACCCTAGAATAGTGCATTTATAAAAATTTGCATATGTCGACCTTACAAATCGTAACACACCATACGCACCTATAACAGCAAATTCGAGTTGTAGCTGTTAGAATCAAGTTAGTATAATGTAATTTTGTTTGAGTGCGATCAGAATTATGTGTATATGCCGAATATTTAGTTTGGCAACTTTTTTTAAAATCAGCTTATATATGACCGGATATACGATATATATATATATATATTATAAACAGCAGGAATTTAAGGTGAAACTATGGACCTCAGGAAATCCAAAAAATTTTAAAAAAGATAATAGTTATAGTTTTCTGAGGAACACTTCCAAATATGAATATTGAAAGATTGAAATAACAATTAGTTCAGTAGTTATAGCAAGAGAAAATATTCATAGATCGAACTAATTCTTGCTTGGATTGGAGTGATAGTGGAAGCAACAACTTTTTTTTTTAACATAATTGTTTTCTTTCAGGCAATGAAGAAAGCAATCACTTTGGAATCATCAAATCATTTATTTTGGAACAGTCTCGGTGTTATCGCTGCTTCTGGTTTTATAAAAGTAAGGCTTTTGAGTTTTTTTGTCCACAAAGTTTTTTTTTGACTTCTAGCTCTGAGTGACTCTAAAACATGATTTCAAATTTTGATTGTTCTATTCGAGGTCAAGTATCAATGCTTATGCATTGATTGAATTTTTAAAAACTGCAAAAAGAAAAATAGGGAATGAATCGATAAATTGTTTTTCTGAAATTTCCTGTATTTCTAAATTGAAACTCATTTAATATACAATTACTTCTGTGTGTAATCTGTTGAACAGTTCAGAATATATAGTTCAGAATATATCCAATTACCCCATAATTAAAAATATTATTTTGGACAGACTAATCTTTTTTCGGCCCCTGCCCCTGAGGTATTTATCACTTTACTTTACCCTTAGTCATTATTTGTAATTTTTATCTTTCGCTTTGTTGCCACATTCAGGATCCAGCTCTTGCACAACACTGTTTTCTCACTTCAATAAAACATGAACAAAATAATGTTGAAGCATGGAGTAATCTGGCAACCCTGTATTTGTCTCACGATCATATCAAACAAGCTCACGAAGCTTTCAAAGTTGCTCAGAGTTTGGAACCCTCGTTTGTGAATAGTTGGGTCGGTCAGGTAAGTGAACTAACTGAAATCTTGCAACCTGTGTGTCTCGAAGGTAAACAGCAAGAAAGGCTAAGCATCTTGATTACTTCCTCATCATGGCCCAATGAGCAAAATGTCAACGATGATGTAATAATTGAAATTTCAGCAGCTGCTCTGACACTTTTTCGCTCGTACAGATTTTCAGGCATGGAGGTAAAAATCAGCTCGTTTTCATGGTTTTGCCAACCATTTGTAAGTTTTTAGTTTATTTCCGAGAGTCTGGTGTAAATCAAATAACACAATGGTCAACTCACTAAAATTTTTTTCAATTCCGAATAACTATTGATTCATGTTATTCGACAGTTATTACAGACATTTTTATGGTACGCTTCCTGATAATGCTGAGGTCAATTTTTGTATATTTGTTTTGTACCGGAATATGTTTGTTTGTTTATGATATTTGATATTTCACGTATTTTTTATCTTTCTGCCAGGCTCTCATTGCGGAGACAATAGGAAGTAATGAAACCATGGATCTGTTCAGGCATTCTACAGAACTTGGATCGCAAAAGCAGGGTGGAATTGGTAAGAACTATTGAATGTTCGAATTTCAACTTTATTTTTTTATTCTAAGTAGTTTAAGTCAAGTCTCAGACCTGTAGGCCCCCTGCTCATTCATAAAAATGCCTAGTTATTGTGTCATTTCTACTGGTTATTTTATGCTAGTACACAAACGCCGCCAAGTAGTTCTACTTAGCATTGCATAACAATTTTTGCATATGTCATTTCGGTTCCATTACATTTGAACCCACGTACATTTGAACCCATGACAATTGCACCTGTATGCTATTGCACCTATGGAATTTTTTTTGTTTCACGGATAGTTAAACCCATACTAACCCTAACCCATGGGTTTTAGCACCCGCATATAGATTGAACCCGTGGATATACGTATGGGTTCAAATGTACATGGGTTCAAATGTACGGTCACCGTCATTTCTAATCCACACCTGACTGTCATCCAAAAATTATGTCCCTACAACGTCACAGTGTGACGTAAATTTGGGATGACGTAGTCAGGTCGGGGTTAGAAATAACTTATCCAAAAATGGTTGTGCCACACCAACTAGAAGTACTTACGCCTTTTAGTGAACATTTCCCGTTTGATCATAAAAATTACAACAAGTGACAGCAGAAGAATAAATTTATTACAGTTGAAAATTAAATAAAAATCACAGCCAATATACAGGGTGTTAAAAGTAACGCAAAATTAACAAAAGTTAAGATGAAATGCTACTCAAAACATTTACCGACTGAAACCTTTTACCAGTATTGAATTACGGTGAAATGCCATTTAAACATTTCACAACTGACGCTTTTTAACAGTTACTTTTTCAACGTTGCCCTGACAAAAAATTTTACCCTAATTTTGCATAATTTTTTCAACACTCTCTACTTTGGTATAATAGTCATCCTAAATGGTTCCTAGTAAAGAACATTGCCCTCAGAGAACCGCTCTGTATCTTATTGCTTTTGCTCATTTTTTGTGTAACTTTTTTTTGTTTCATTTTTCCATAAAGACTTAACTTTTTTAATTTTATAGGTTACAGTTCTTGGGTTGCTAGAGTTATTGCTGACACATCAAATCCTGAGTCATCACTTTTTAAGGAAAATATCCGAAACATGAACGCTGTTACCACAGCAACAACTCAGATGTCAAAATTGTGTGACAAAAATTCAAACTGGTTAGTGAGATTGATGTTTGTAGATTATTTGTTATTCTTGAATTTGTAAAATTAATTTTAATCATAAGTAGCTTATCTATTGGGGCATATTGCAAGCACGGACGGCCTGACAAAAGATCTGCTCCTTGGCACCATGCCTGGCACACGGAAACGTGGACCTCCCAAAACAAGGATGTCGGAAACGGTCATAACAAATCCGGTGAAAACTACTTTTTTCCAGTGCTTTATCACCTCGACGTAATTTAACACCGCCCGACTTCAATCATCCCTTTTTGCTGTTAGTTACGTAATAATCGTTATCCCCGCGTATATGTTTGTATTCGAAAATGGGATATGATACCTCAAAAAGGTAGAAATCGCGCGCTGTCGATGCGAATTAAAAGTGACAATAGCATAATGCTATCTCTCTCTCTCTTGTGACGAATACTCTCTATATTCCAATTTAGTCAAGATATCGTTATCGTGTTTCAGCGGGGCGACACCTAGTGGCGTTGCGACTCACGTCGTGGTTGCACTGTGTAAATTCCGGTCGGACCCCCCCCCGTTGAAAACGACCTGGTTGCGCCACTGTCTCGAACAACAATTTATTTTCTATTGGCTACTTCGAATTATTATAGTGGTTGTTGTTTTGGGCTAAAATGCTTTGCTAAAACTAATTTACTAACGAATTTCGAACCAAAGGTGGCAGATATCGTTAGAATACTATTACTTATATTTTTTGTCCGGTAATTCAACCAAAATTTTGCTGTTATTTTACTTAATGGAAACACATTTTTACTCTGCCACACTCATATGACCTCATCTTGCTTTTCGTCATTCTATTAAGGAAATTTGGTGCTCTGTGTCCTTGAATGACTTTGGTATCCATATGAGCATTACCTGTTTATTTTTTTCCATTTTTTTGAAATTCAAGTGTATTTTAATTTGATACGTCATTACTCTTTCTTTCCCCAGTCCTTGGTCTTCGACCATTCATGGCTTTCTACTGGAACATTCCGGTTTAAACCGGTCTGCTGAATCAGCCTACAGGCAATCATATAATGCGTTGGAAAACATGGTTTCTAAGGATGAGAAGGACGAAAAAAATTTGACAATGAAGAAATTCAATTCTGTTGCGAATCTAGCAAGAATATCAAGGTTTGAGTTTTAATATTTTTTTTGTATATTTGTTCATGTATCATGGTAACATTGAGATATTGACATCGATCTGCTATACCTAGTGGTTCCCAAAGTTTATTGAGGAAAATCAGAAGCGGAAGGATATTGGCGTGCCGGCAGATGTAAGCACCGCAAGTAGGGCTGGGCATTTCGAATATTCGAATCGAATAGTAAATTATTCGAATCGGTTCAGAGCTAAATTTCGAATCGCCGCCATCTTGTTTTTACCTTTCCGCTAATGGTCGACGTGAATTCCCCAATTTTTTTTTCATTGGAGTCATATTTTTTCAACGAAATTCTAACATATGACTATTTTCTGTAGTGAGTTATTGATAAAACGTGTTTGTTATTCTGTGTGAACGCTCAGTAATCTATCTGAGTGATTTATTCTATGTCTTCAGTAATTCCTTTGTTGAGAGGACCAATTACAATAATAAAGTCGCTTACAATTATATATTTTCAAGTATTCGAGATTCGATTCGAAAAAATTATTCGATTCGATTCTGAAATCACAAGGTATTCGAAAATGCCCAGCCCTAACCGCAAGGGACCGATACCGATAAGTGAACTGAATTGTTACGAATAGACACATGCTTGATAATAATGTAACACTTGGCAGTATCTAGGATGCAAAATGTAAAAAATATATAATGTTAATTTAGTTCACTTAAGTTCGGCATGTCATAATAAATCGTTACACGGCCATAATTGGCTTGCGAGCCACGATTTGGGAACCACTGTGCTATACAATACAATGCGGTAAATGAAACTAGCGAAGTTGATAGAACAAAAATACAAAAGTAATATTACGATATCAGCACTGCTGAGTACTCACAAGGCTCTGGACAAGCATACTAATTAGTATGTAGAGAACTAATGATCTAATGACGAAGAACTGAAAATATATTTCATCCGGCTTTCAACCTATCAAAATTTATTACATTTAGGATGATATAGTAGGCCTTCGCCACGCTTTCGGACTTTCAACTGTTGGTACTAGCATTGCTAGGTCAAATACGCTTAAACACGCCAGTGGGTCTGGTCTCTAGCCAGTGGGTCTCTCAGTGAAATTTAAGAAATTGCCTGCACTCGTCCCAAATTTGTCCTCATCCTACATATAATTTTTTTAATTTTATTTTCCAGCAAAAATGGATCACATAATGAAGCAATATCACTTTATGAAGAAATTTTATCGTCACCATTTATAAATTTTTACGACGTCTGCGAACTTGCACTTGCTTATTATAAATCGGGAAAATTTGATAAAGCTCTTGCTTCTTATGAAAAGGTAAGTAACTACCGAACTAGAAGAAATTTTATGATGTATTGGTGTATAAGGTAGTTCGTTTAGAACCGTGGCGTGCTTCTTTAATAAAACATATTTTCACCTTACTATCTGTTATTTGTAGCTTATTGTTAGCTAGTAATTTTTGAGGTGGGGTGTGACACTTAAAAAGCTTGAGAACCACTTGTCTAGAATGTCGATTATGAACTATTTTGTTTGTTATCCTCAGACAGTGATAAACATGCACGGCTATTCTCTAAGAACTACTTCAAATATCTATGTTTTATTATAAACTGGGCTCTTGGGAGCAATTGTTCTATGGGGTCCATGAAGAATTGTTTCAATAGGTATTCCTCGCGATAACTACATCAATTGGAAAAGCAGAGAATCGTGAGGCTTGAGATTCTCTGGAAGATAGATCTGAAAAGCAAATAACTTGATCTTTCTTTGTTTTCCTCTGTATTGTATTATCATTTTTGTCCTTACAAAACAGGCCGGACAACTAGTATCTTCAGATGATGACAAAGCACAAGTCATGGTTGCTATGGCGATGACATATTGGAAGATGGGAAAGCATGATGAGGCAAAAACTCTGCTTTATCAATGTTTTCAGAAATGTAAAGCTGGATTGAGAGCGTTACTTTCACTTGGTAAGCTGCATGTGACTTGGGTACTCCCATAGTGTGTGTAACAGGTTGGGGTTAGGCCATAATTTTATTCCGATTTTTCTTATTTTAGTTCTATTACGAGTTCGGGGACTCTCTGTGTTAGCCAAGTGAATATACCCCCTGCCCATAGGCTTCAGTTCCTTTACACAACTTGATGTAAAGTAGGAGAACAAAAAGTAGTTACCTTCATATTGGTACACACTTCTGAAGCGTCGAAACCAGTGCACTAACCTTATGGTCTGTGTCATGTTCAACATGCAATGTTCAGCAAATTCCATTTCTGTTTTTCTATTTGACCAACTATTTTCTAAAGATTGAGGGGTATTTTAATTTCATAATTTGTCATATTTTCTGATCTACCTAATCTACCTTTTTATATAACAAAAAATAATTCATATTTCCTCATTTTACAGGAATTGCGACTGGAGACAAAACTCTTGTCGGGGCAGCTGTCGGTGAATTGATTAATAAAAAATCAGCGAATTCTGACGATGTTGGTGACGATTGTTTATTGATCGCTTCTGCAGCCGAGTTATGCGAGGACGACAAACTTGCTCTGAGTCAAGTACAGAAAGCTTTGCATTTGTAAGTTGAGAATGGTGTATTGAACAAGCTGATGTTCTTTTTAGGAGCATCAGAAGTGTATGTACCAATATTGAACCAATTTTGTTTGCCTACTTTACATCAAGTTGTGTAAAGTGACTGAAACCTATGGGTAGGGGGTATGGTATATTCACTTGGCTAACACAGACCTGTAATAGAACTAAAATATTCTCAGTTCCACTGGAAAGTTTAAGGAAAATCGGAATGAAATTATGGCCTAACCCTAATCTGTATTTGCCTGGTACCTATACTACGGGAGAACCCTTTTTTATATAGCTTATATATTATAAATATTAACATTCGCCAGTAGGATAAGTACATCCACTTTTTCTGCAGACATCCATTTAGTTGGTCATTACGGATTCTACTCTGTCGTTTGTTGGTTCATTTACCTGGTTGCACTGCTGACCGTTCTGCTCCAGTAATCTCTACTCAAGCAAAATTCCTATTTGATCAACAGTGTGTAACAAATCCACTGAACCGTGACAGCCAGCAATGGAAAGGATCCTTAAGACATAAAAATGGTGTTACCATATTGAAATGTACTGCCATGTCAACAGTCTCTGCTGGAAGTCACAAAACCAGGTAGGTTAAAAAAAAATTTAATGTCTCTGACTCCAATATTTCAAAAAAATGTTACAGCTTCGCATCGAGGACAAATGAACTGATTTGAGTGTTACGTAATGAGCTGCGGTAAAATTATCGGTACTTCCGTAATATGTGAACCAAGATGGCGGACACAGGAATGTAGTATGTGTACCAGGTTAGAGTTCGGCCATAATTTCAGGTACAAAGGGAGTCACTTGGCTAGTCCTCGAACTCGTAATAGAACTAAAATTGGAATAAAATTATGGCCTAAACCTAACCTGGTACACATACTATGCCATCTTGGTTCATATACTACGGGAGCGCCTTATCTTATAGAGCTATGTTTTTAATAAAGTCGTTCATCGTATCCCCCCTAATTTTCCCATTATCTTATTTCACAGTTCTGGCATTCATCAAGAAATGAAAGAGAAATTACGCAAAGCCCAAAAATTTGCACATATGCATCCTTATGATCCTTCAGCATGGAGTTTATTATGTTGTGCTTCTCATGGAAATGATGTAGTGGAATGGTGAGTCTGAATCGATGTCGTTTCTCTATCTTTTTTTTATTTAAATTTGCAAGTACTTTGACCTTACGTGTATTGACTTTTTACATAGCTTTCCATTATAATTATTTTGTATAAACTTTCTCTAATCCAGTCATGGTCAAACTACGCCTCGTTGGGTAATTCAATCTGGCTGGCCTCATGCTGCCACAACCAAGCTCAAGAAGTTTGTTGAGATTGCGATCAAATTTAGTTTAAGCATGAGACTTATCATTTCCAAATTTTGCTTTTGTAACACCGTAAATATTGTCCATAAAATGTAACTTTTTACGTCACACTTACATGGCTCGCCAGCCTGAGTAAACAAAATTTGTGGCACTCGGGTCCAAAAACCTTGCCTACCCCTGCTCTAAACTTCCTTGTAAACGTTCACTCAGGTTGCAAGACAAACCAGCAAACAATAACGGACTTGTTGAATCTTTATCACAACAAGCACTTGACACATCTTCTTCAACTGCCAAGAGGGAAATAGAATCTTGGTGTGGAAGTATCACTGCATGGAATAAAACTTTAACTGGTGCTGATGTAGACTGCAAAGTAATGGTAGTATGAAAATCTTGTTGTGTAGTTGATCTTTCCTTTACTCAGTACTAGGCTCTAGGCTCTTATTTTTGCTCCAGACTAGGCTCTAGAGCAGGGGTGGCGAGTTTTTTGGACCAGGGGTCACAAATTTTGTTAACCCAGACTGGCGGGCCATGTAAGTGTGACGTAAAAAAGTTACATTTTATGAACAAAATTGCAGCGAATTATTTGAGCAAAGGTGGAAAACAATAAGCCTCGTGCCAAAACTAAATTTATTTGCAGTCTCAAATACCTTAAGCTATTTTTAGCTAAAACATCAAAATTTGATTTTAGTTTGGATTTGGCAGCATCGTCAGGCCAGATTGGATTTGGCCCGCATGCTCTAGTTTCCTCATGGCAGCCCTAGATGGACAATTACTGAAATTTTTCAGGAAATATTGACATAATTGGCATTTTGTTTACTTTTTGTTATTTCTTAAGAAACGAGCATTTTTTTTCCAGGTCACTGACAGCACGAAATTCATAAATTTATTGAGTAATGCATCATGTACAATTGATAAGTCCAAGTTACAATCAATATTCAAAGAAATAACGAATATTATTGGGAAAACCACTGATCCAGGGAAATCTTCGAAGGTGCTTTTTGTTCATAGCCCAATGATGATTATTCAATGATTGTGGCTACTGACTCTGATGATACCTAAAGGTGTTGTCTCCCAGTCATGTACCGAAGGCGTCTTTTTATTTAATATTCATATATGTATGCATATATTGATTTCTCGGTTTGACAAATGATATGATCTCTCTCTCCTTCTATTTGACTAGGAGCTGAAATTGTAGCCAAAATTTTCAGTTTTTGTCAAGTATTTATATTACGATTACTGCTAATAACAGAGTAAAAGTTTCTTGAATATTTTTTTGTTCAACTTGCCTCGGAAGACTTTCTGACTGGCAGACTTGGCTAGAAATTATTACTTATTTAATATTGCGATGTACTGAACTCACACTGCTGTAGCTCTTGTTATAATAGTGGTTCTCAAACTTTTTAATCTGCACCCCATTTTTAGAATTTGTCAAGTCTTGCGCCAGCAATAAGCTCAAATAACAGATAGTAAGGTGAAAGTATGTTTTATTCAAAAAACACGTTGAAAATATGCGGATGGAATCGCAATCTCTTGAACGATAAAGAAATGTACATTTCCAAAGTAAACCGGGCAAAATCAAATCCAACAAATACTTTTATTTAGCTTCACTCCCTCTCAAAAAATTGTCTACTTCATCTTGTGGGCCACGCCCCACTTTGAGAACCACTGTGCTATAATAATCAAACCTTATTTCTGTTCTTTTTAGTATTTTGGTGAACTTTTGGAACACTTAGGAATGTTCCAAGTTTCGAAAAAAATGTTCGAAAAATCAATCACATTGAACAACTCAAACCCTATGGAACAATTATCTACTTTTTTCCGGATTATTCAACTTGCGTATAAAGCATTATTCAAAGATGAGACGAAAGCCAAAGAATGGTTGGAAGTTATGAAAAATGTTGTTTGTGAAATCATTAAAATTGATGTGAAATCTCCGCAAAGTTTGTTCATTCAGGGACTCGTGCTGAGGATGGATAAAAATCACAGGTGAGTTGATTTGTTTTACGCATTAAATTTTCCAAGAAGACAAAAATTTAGATTTCGAAGTCATACTATAGAAACATTGGCATTTGTTAATTACAGTCCAGCACTGGAACACAAAGTTTGGCTTGATTGGATTTAATAAAATTTATATTTAGGGAGGCACTATTTGAGTAGAGCCACTCTTCATCAAAGACTACTAACACTCAAATTAGATTGCTTTGTATAATTTAAGAGAGATATACTTTTGTGTATTTATATGCTATAATTCTTTATAGCCACTGTGGCTCTAGGCCAGGGAGTCACTAACTGGGGTACATGAACTCCCAGGATGTGCGTGAGTCCATCCCAAGGGGAGACGAAAATCAAAACTAGAAATGTCCAAAATCAAGCTATTATGATATTAATAGACAAATAATTTTAAATAAAAAGACTTGATTTTCATTTATTAATTGACATGATTTACGTGCCGCGATTGTAATAGCATCCGGCTCTCTGTGTGTGATTGCTAGCCTATCAGTAATAATGATCGATGCCTGATAGGCTAGGCGTGATTTTGAGGTGTCCATGGTTTCCAAGTGATTGTTCGTTTATATTTATTTTTTCATTGCAATATTACACTACGCTTTTATGAAATACTGGTATGCGTTGTATTGTATAATTTGAGGTCAGATCCTGTCTTGAGAACTTGAGGGTTTGCCAGGACCTCTGACATCTACTGGGGGTCTGTGGGGGTTCAAAGTTAGGGAACCACTACTCTAGGCCTGACATGAGCAAACTGCGGCCCGTTGGGCAATTCAATCTGGCTCGCCTGATGCTGCCCTAACCAGACAATGGTCAAATTTTTATGTTTTAGCTAAAATATTCTACTCAAATTCTTTAAATAAAGTTTAGTTTCGTTACGTGGCACGAAATTAAATTTCGTTACGTGGCACGTTTAGTTTTGGCACGAGGTTTATTGTTTTCCACTTTTTCTTTTGTAACACTATAATATTGTTCATAAAATGTAACTTTATACGTCATACTTACATGGCCCGCCAGTCTAGATGGGCAAAATTTTTGGCCTCAGGTCCAAAGACCTTGCCCACCCCTGCACTCTAGTGGTGCTCCTACTGTGCTCTGAGAGTCTCTTGAACTCTGAGCGAGTGCGCACAACCTTACTTTGAGCAATTTCTCTTTAAAAGATTTCAGACTCAATAATTCATTTCGCACTATCTGCAACAGGAAATCCAGGTCGCTGTTCAACAGAGTTCTCAATTCAACTGAAATAATTTCTGATGATACAAGAAGTCTTGCAACCTGGTATCAATACAGGAATTTACATGAAAGGAATGATACTACTGAAATACAGGTAAATATATCGAAGTTTTTTACTTCAAAATGTGCCAACATAATCAAAATGTAGTTATCAGTTGTGGTTGCGTGACACTCCTCTCTGGTTACCCTGCGCAGATTTGAATCTTGTGGGGATAATTATGTGCAAAAGGGTGGCTGGACTCATCACTGTCGAAGCGTGGTTAACGCAACTTGTATTATAAATATCTTGTATTATGAAATCTAGAAAAAAAATTTTTGTTCAGAAACTGGTTGAGAAAGCACTGGAGGGAAATGATCAACATATAGCTAGAATAGTTGGAATTCTTCCTGTCAATTAAAAGTGCAATATATTTTAAAAATAGAAATTATTTGTGTTTCGTTTCGAACTGTGACAGTTTTTTCAGGGCCCTCAACGCACTAGAGTGCCATGGGGTCTACTGGCATGGGCCACAAGTGTTTTTTTCTCTCATATGAAAAATTACGGATTGTGAATGTTCGAGAATCGCTGGTTCAAACAAAGGTCTGATTTTCAAATTTTGATGGAAATCATTTCCTTCACTTCATTGTTTTGTCCTAGCATCAATGTTGCTTTAATGCATGCCATAACGGTACTCCCGAAGTATTTTGTGGCATCTGAAGCTGCCGCAAAATCATGGCAGGATTTCCAAACCATGGCCGCCATGGCCAAACCCAGACTTTTTAGCTGCCACAAACCAATGGCGCAGCAAATTGAAAACTGATGCCGGGTAAAATTTTGCTGCTGTAACTGCGGCATGTCGGCTGTAATGGCAGAGCTGTCTCTGATGGTGATAAATATTAGGTAAGTTAGAACATTTTTCTTATGTATACAGTTTTGGTGGATTTGGAGTTAGGTTTCAGGTTTAAGTAGATATATTTCTGCATGATAAATTAAAATCTGGTATATGACTTTGTGAATATACCGATAATAGCGCCATAACTACAACAAAAGCTGCCATCGGTTCGTTCGTGGCAGGAGCTGCCATGAAGTGGTAAGAACTACGCCTCTGAGTATGTGAACCATGGTGGCGGACACCTAAACGTAGTTGTTGTGTATACCAGGTTAGGGTTAGACCGTAATTCCAAGCACAAATACTATGAGAGTCAGTTGGCTAGTCCCCGAACTCGTAATAGAACTAAAATGAGGGAAATTGAAATAAAATTATGGCCCAACCCTAACCTGGTACACATAGTACATTCGGGTGTCCGACATCTTGGTTCATATACTTCGGAAGTACCCCATAATGTGCCACCTGAGTTTGATTGGTCATCTAACCTCTGTGTCTAATATCAGTAATATTCATACAGGGACGGCTAAAAATTGAACAATTTCTTATTCTGAGATATATATTTTTATTGAATACGAAATATTGAATATATTCTGGAATGAGTCTGTGCTAAATAAAAATTCACTCGGACAATTGTAAAATTGGAATCAGCGTTAAAAGCAATCGTTCATCTAAGATATTGGATGAAACTATTCAATTTGCTATATCGAATATTCGATTCGTTTTGGGCATCCCCCTTTCTATGACCATCTGCATCTATTAAAAATTGATTAGTTCATCGGTTCTTTATTCTTTTTTTTTTTCAATAAATAGTGTTATTGAACATTCTCTGCTGGGGTGTTTTGATTTCTTGATTGACCACGAGCGCCGCCAGCAGGTGGATCTCCTAGAAAAGTTTGCTTTGCTTCTGTGATGCGGATAGTTGTTTCTTCTGGGAGAATGGATAAGTTTCTACAATATTTATTGAAGTAAACTTGTTCAAATCCGGGATGCAGGGAATCGAGATGACTGAAGAAGCTGTATAAGTCTATTAGGACGAATGGGAATCGGCGTGAAAAAAACATCCAGAATTTTTCAGTTTCGTTGTTTTCGAAACAAATTTGCAGTAAAGCAGGTGATTTTTCATGGAAATGTATTTTTATATCACGTATGAATCGAACGAGATCCCAGGGATCAGTGTCTTTGTAATTAAAATCAGCAACATTTGACAGGTCAAAAAGTTGGTTGGAGCTAGTAGTATTATTTTTTATTCTGCCACTTTCAAAGTCTTGTAATTTCAGTGACTCTTTCCAAACTCCTCTGTTAATATTATTTTTTTGGAGATATGTGCGATACTTGCCAAGGGGGATGCATTCCCTTGATCGAATTAAAAAGTTTATTTTCTTGTCATAGCTCCAAAAAAATGGATGCTTTAGTATTTTTTCCGGTGAAGTGTAGTCTGCTTTCAACATTTTTGAGATTAGGTCCTTGGCTATTTCTGGGTCTTGACACACTAACTCATCAATCCTCCACCTACCTCTCGATGGTGATGTGACAGACTTTCCATTAGACAGAACAAAATAGAATATTTTTCCTAGCTGTATGATATCATCTGTTTTATTTCCCCCAACGGTTTCAAGTCTCTTATAATCTGCAATCACAGCTTTGTTGTCTTTGGAAAACACAACGTTACGTGTGCTCAAGTGACCATGAATTATATTATGTTTGTGAATGTGCCATAAACCGTGTGTTATCTGTAGTAGAATAGCGACACGGTAATCATTTGATAGGCAGTCATTGATACACTTTTCTCTTACACTTCTCATTTTATCAAGAAGTGTACCATCTTCATAGCTGATTGCTGCGTTAACATTTTCCAAGTTTCTGTGGCTTTTGAAAGTACCACAGTGACGAAACAGATAGACATTTGGATGAGGAGTAAATGATTCACTGATTGGTCTACGAGGATCTTGTGGACGCGGACTTACGACACGAACTGCCATGTCAGAATGTCTTGTGAGCCCATTGGCTGCGGCCGCCATAGTAGCATGCTATAACTAGTATAATGTAGCCTATTGATGCTATATACTACAAGAAAAACGAATACAAAGTGATTGAAATTCAGTAAATATGTTGGTATAGTAGTTTTATATAATTATACACATATATACCCAGCGGGGTCATTCTGTGAGGGGTGGGGTGAATCTGTTTTTGGGATGCTGCGATAGTCCTCTATCTTTTTCTTGTTTTGGATGTTGGTGTCTACCGGTGAAGTTGCCTATCGTAATATCCGGCGTTAGCTTTGGATTTAGGTAGGGGCATAACTATATAAGGAAGCATGCTGTGAGCGAGTTCAATGCAAAAGAGAACCGATACTTAAAATGTGAATTTTGCCATTGGGTATCTTGTCTTTGTACCATTGGTGCTCCCAGAGCTACCAAGATAGAGAATTTGAAAAGGTAAAAAATCAGTTTGTTGGCAACCAGTTAAAAATAAGACACTCCTGAAGTATTCATACCAGAATGGTGGACACCGGAACGTAGTGTGTGTACCAGGTTAGGGTTGGGCCATAGTTTTGTTCCATACTATTTTAGTTCTATTACGAGTTCGGGGACTAGTCAAGCGACCTCCGTAGTATTTGTACCAGGACTTATGGCCTAACCTGGTACACATACACGCTAACTTCCGGGATACCAAAATAAAGAATATGAGAAGCGGGATATTTTAAAAATATTTACATAAAAAAATAAAACAGCATAAGATACTATTTAAATACAGTTCAAATGTACAAATATAACACAGTTAGGCAAAATAACACTGGCCAGGTAAGTGAGATATAGAAATAAAAAATATAAACACTGATGCTTCTAAAAATTTGGAACAGTGGTTTTCAACTTTTTTGGTCTAGCCGAACTCTCATAAAACATATCAGAGGCTCGTGATATCCCTGCAATAGTTTAATTGTCTTATGCAAAATTTTATATATAAAATTGTATATACTTTCAATATATATATAGTGAAGCAAACCTGATAATGACAAAACGAAATGATCTTTAAAGTGTTGAAAGTATGTAAATAGGTATTTTTCGATATTCAATTGAAATGAACGGAAACTTTTGAAACCCATGGACTGAGTTGGCGCACCCTCGTTGAAAATCAATAGTATATATATTAAGAAAATTTATGCCTTGGAATAAATAGTAAAATAGTTGGGTGTAATCGCTGAGGCTGGGAATAGTTAACCGATTTTAGATAGTTAACGGTTACGATTTATTTTAACCGTTGACTGACATCTCAGGTACAAATCATCTTTATAATGTACAATTCTTTCAAAAATGATTACGTCATCGCAAATTTATCTCCTGTGGCATTTAATTCAAAAGAAAATCGCTAACTGTATTTGTGAGGACCTAATAAATGTGAAAAATAATTGAAGTACCAAGATTGCTGATCATGAAAATTTGACAATAATTAATTATGAATCAGTTTTTGGTCGAAATATATTGTTCACGATTTTATTTCAAAATCGTATATCGTTTATTCAATGTCAACCAATAAGTGCGTAGTTGATGCCGTTTTTTTTATATATATATCTCAAAGTAGAATTTGCACATCAAACACTGAAAATTTGTCACATAAATGACATTTCATAACGGAATCGGGTTTTACTAACATACTTCCATATGTCCTACCCACGCTACATATATCTTGCAGCAGAGCGATCACGAAACTATCTCGATTCGTGAATAATTTTGAGCAATACCGGGATAAGGTCACGCGAAATTGTTGTGTAACCATTGTGACGTAACAAGATGAAATTATAAATTCCTATGTGAAACGTCACGCTGCGGTTAACCGGTTAATTTTACCCGGTTAACGGTTAGTGTTTTCCCTGAAATTCCCATTCCTAGTAATCGCATATATATACAGTGGTTGACTAAAAAAATAATAGTAGTTTTGAAATGAATAGAGGTATTGTCAATGCTTTGAACGTTATAGTTTTTGTCTGCTGTACTTCTACTATCCAGAAGTTGGAGTGCATTGTGTTTATATAGGGTGTAAAAAATTATAAATTATGCATAATATTCAAATACAGTTCAAGAGGTACAAATATAACGTGGACCTGCATAGTTTTGGATATCCGTAATTTGGAAAAGTAATCAAATAAAACATAGAAATAAATAGAAATATAACACCTATGCTTCTGAAGCCAGAAAATAAAAATTTGAGAAAGTGAAAATTAGACGAAGTAAATATGTTGAAAAATAGTTGCAAATCTGCGCAGTGGTTTGAATAAATATATAATACTGATCAATGCTTTTGAAGCTATAGATTCAGATTCAGATATTTATTTTTCGTCGTGCAAAAACATTGTACATTTAAACAAATGGTAAAAATTAAATAAATTCATTGAAAGAAAAAAGTACAATATTTGAACTGCAATGGACGAGAGGTCGCGAAGAGACTATTAAAAGTCATCATGTCAGCGACACTATTATAGAAGCAGATTAAGTCAAACAATACAGAAGTAAATCAGCATAAATAATTAAAAACAATTTGAGAACTAAAAAGTACGTGAGAACGGAAGATTCAGTAAATAAAGTATTGACTAACTAGATCAACTCAACGTCATGCTCCAGCGAGCACGCCCCCAACAAGGAAATTGCAGACGTACGTGACGTAGCATAAACACGAAATATTACGAAAATGAAAATTGGTTTTATGTGGTGAACTAAATATGCTAGAAAATAGCTGCAAATATATACAGTGATTGCCTAAATAAAGCATAGTAGTGTTAGTATAAGTTTATTTCGACTTCAAAGCTTGTATAGACTGGGAATTCTCAACAAACAATATAGATTTTCCAAAGCCAGAGACTTTAAATTTTCTGAGGTCAATCCTCAGTTTATTCAAAAATAAGTTGGACGCGTGGGGGCTCGAGGCCCAACTTGAATGGCTCTGGCCAAGCCGGAAATTTTTTGGAGATGTCAAGGCTGGGGTAAAATGGCTTGCTTTGAGTGCCAGCTTGAGTTGGATGAGACTCAAGTCTCAAGTCAGAACTGGGCATCACATGACTTGACCGCGCTTGTTTTGTCTTGGCGAATTCAACAGTTTTATTTTGGCCGTGGTCGTCTGAGTAGTGTGCGATGATCTTCAACGGTTTCTGAACGAATGAATATAAATGAGTATATATGAATATCAAACTCATTCTGTTATTGCGTACATATATATGGATTTAGCCTACTTCAGTAGAGTAAGACTTCAACTTGATACAGAAAATTAGTTAATGGTACCGATTAGAAGTTGCCCATTAGAAATAAATAACCTCGGCGTCATCCATTATTGTTTCATATATAAGTAGAGTGAAATTTGGATTGTAGCCTACTCTAGTCAAAATGCTTTTCGGTATAGTACCGGTAGCTAATGAGGGATATAATCAATTCGTTTGTTAGATGTGTATTAGTTCGAAAATATTTGGTACCGGTACTTTCCGTACTAGACTAGAGCATTGCGGAAATAAGGCTTCTGAGTCGAGAGAAAAAATTGTGAGCCGGGTAAATTATAATTTTGATTTCGGAATCGGATTATTAAAAAATATAGCCTCCAGTTATGGGAGCATCGTGTAGTGTGAAAACACGTATCGCTCCCTTCAGTCGTTACCATAAAATATTATGCTATTCTTATTTATAGTATGTATGCCTTCATTTATTTGAATTTGGTTGAACAAATTAATAAATCTTTTTATCTGTGTACAGATTGCAGTAATCGCAATGAAGTCAAATTTGACTTCAATAAGAATCGGGAACGTTGTATTTATTAAATAAAATAATTTACTTTTGTAACAAACTGCTCGAATTGTCTTCTTTTATTTGCGATCTCGCATCTTATTTCTAACGTGTCTGTAACTTTTTTTGTTGCTTCACCAATTGCAGATAGGTATTCATCGTTTACCAATGTGTAATAAGACTTCAAATTCAGACTTTTCAACTGCAAAATAAGCGAATTTGGTTATTCACCACCACACACATTGCCACGGCGATATACGAAGGGTGCTTTTTATTTATTAATTAATATTAATGGGTTCCTGGGCAATAATAAATGTAAGAATGGAATATATGGTATTTATTCTCATTGCAATGTCTGTTTCATAGGGTAATGGTATCGCCGACCCCCATAACCAGCAAGGCAAGAACTTCGGAGATTTCGAATATCTTAATTGATTGGGAAAACTATGTTTTATTGCTTATAAAATATTAACATACTTTATGAGTTTTCAATTCCTTTGTGAGGCACGTGATACTCGTGTCAGAGGCATCGCAATTTTCGATATTAAGATGTTCTAATGAGTACACCTTCGACAGTTCTCCAACGGCAGACCAACCTGCGTCGCCGAGATTCATGTTGTCATGAACATCGAGAGACTCGATCTGAAATGTAGCAATTTTTTTTAAATTCCAGATGCATCTATGTAGTTTGCATTTGTTAAAAATTCTGTTGATTTTATCATTATCATTATTGCGACAAATGCTTTATTGGACACAAAATGGCCCTATCGATCGTTTTGTTTAATTGTTCCCCTCCTTGGTGTGGAAAAACTACCGGACCAATCACTCAGCAGTTGAAGATTGTTGCTTTTGCTAGAAGGCTATTACCTTCTTTATTTAAAAATATCTATGGCCTTTGTGGGATTCATTTTTCCCTTTGGAGCTTTTGTGTGATGACGACATCAAAATTAAAAATTGTTCACCGTGTGGCACTTCGCGATCGCATTTTAGCGATCTGGTGGTCAGACTACACGTACTACACCAAAGATTTGATACTACTTCATTTTAACCAAATATTGGAGCATTGCTCTTTTGTATTTAAGTGATAGACACAGAAACTTAATTTTTCGTTTAGTTCAATTCAATAGCGTAATTTTATAGTGTTGGCTATTATATAAGTATATATATATATATATAATTTGAAATAATCAAATTTGAGAAGATAAATTCATTGAATCGAAACTCTGTAAATAATTGTGATTATGTTTCGAATTCTGATTTATATTTTCTATGTATTTATCAGTAAACTTCCTTTGAGATATTTTTATAAATGTGTATTTGAGATACCTTTAATTCTGGTTTCTCGTTTGATGGAATTTCTGGGATCAATATCTGGACTCTTTCTGCGTTGAGTTCGCATCCTGCCAGTCCCAGGCGTTTGAAATTTGCTTGCGATATAAGAAGCTTAACTTCTTCAAGGTCAGACATACTGAGTGCGTTGTAGCTGAGATCAAGCATTGTCAACTGAAAAAAATGAACACCCCCTTAAATATATTTACCCGTGCAACTGAAACACATTCTGAGCAATGCTTCTCACAAGGTATTGCTCATTTGCTTCTCGCAAAATAAATAATTGAAAATTATTTTATTCAATTATTTTTTTTTTAAGTTTATCTCTAACAATAAAGTTTGAGAATAAAAATTTGAATGAATTCACGGATCTATAATCCAAAACTATTCACAGAAATTGGCCAGAATTGCTATCAATTTATATACCTTTTTATACAATCCATTTGCAAAATTTTTGAGGTTTCCATTTATGCCACATCCACATAAAGAGACTGATGAAAAATTCAGGTATTGGATCAAACGCTGAAGAGTCGTTATGCCATGATCACCAAGTGCTTTATTCTGGCTCAGATCGATCTGTTCCATTTCAAATTTCTCTTCTTCTTTATCGTTGTTTCCCTGTTAAACCATATTGTATTATCAGAGTTGAATGCAGTATTAATTTTTTAAATATTAAAGTTTACCAAAGACAAGGTTTCAAGCAGTCTTTGGTTAATTAAGGAAGGGTTTAGTTATGGAACAGTTACCATAGTTGTATATTTAAAACTGAAACGCCCATGGCTAAGCATACTGTCAAGTTTATTTTCAGATATTTATTCTGGAGAAAAAGAATATCGCATAGACGGTTCAACCATATATATAGCGAATCACGGCATCTCTTCCAGATATGGAAGAACATAATGATTGTTGAACAGATTTAAACGAAATAGATCAGATGCACTTAACATGCTACATCTACTGCATCTTGTGAAATAGATAGATAAAAAATAATTATATCACAATTTTTTAGTTCTTCTACTGTAAAAATGAAGTATTGAGAATTAAGATTTGAATGAATTCACGGAACTACATTCTCAAACTATGCACAGAATTTGGCCAGAATTGCCATCATTATATATATATATACCTTCTTATACAATCCATTTGCAAAATTATTGAGGTTTTCATTTGTGCCACATTCATATAAAGAGACTGATGAAAATTCAGAATTCGGGTCTTTGTTCAAACGCTGGAGAGTCGGTATGCCAATATCAACAAGTTCATTATTCTGACTCAGAACAATCTTTTCCATTTTGAATCTCTCTTTTTCTTCGGATTTTTTTTTCTGTTGAGACAAAAATCTATACATAAATTAAAATAAAATCGTAGTGTATTGTCAATCGTGAATCCGGCCTATTGTGTCTCAGGTCCTCAGTTAAATATTGAACGGTTTGTGACATCATAGCTAATAGCTATGTTATACATACTGTCAAGATCATTTTTTCAAAATTTGAAAGACTTCTAATGAAAAACAAGAGAGATATGCTCAAATATATGGACACGTAGCGCCATCCAGTGGGAATAAGTTTGATGACGTCATAGCGAAAAAATAATAATAGCCTTCTGGAAAAAAATTTTATCTTCAACCACTGAAAATTTCAAAGCAATTGGTCCAGTATTCGAAGAGAAAAGCGATTTCTTCAAAACGTGTCAAAGAACAAGGACACTAAGAACAACAATAAGAACAACAAAAACATAATATTGAAACGATCGCTATGTCCACTACGTGTGCAATAATGCTACGAAGATGGTTTAGTCATATTGCGAATCGCGGCCTTTCTCCAAGTTCCATTCAGATATGGGAATAGCTTACTTGTCTCGGAAGAGAACGACAATAATTTGAAACTTTATCGCTGTACATACGGATTTCTAGTTTCAAAGATGATTTGATAAGTATGAGATATTGGATATTTAACAAATTGAATTATTTGGCCATTCTGATATATTGCTATACCTTTACAAAAACTTGGTGAATCGCGAGCAAATGTTTTGGTGTAAGTCCACATTCAATAATCTGCGCACATTTGATTTGCAATCCGCGTAATAATTCACAAAACACTATCGCAATCTCGGGAGTAAAATTTTTGATTCGATTGTATTGAATAGAAGTCACCTGTAAGTAACAAAGAGAATTTTGATTGAAATATTCTGATATATTATATATATTCTGATTTGGGTGCTCTCGAAGTATGTACATCAAGATGGCGCGCAACCCGAACATAGTATGTGTACCAGGTTAGGGTTGTGTGCCATCTGGTGCACGTACTTCTGGAGCGCCCTGATTTGCAAGAAAGACATGCGTAAGAGAATAACTATGTAATTATTGATGTATTGTTGTCATGCATCAAAATTGAGTACATTTAACTGTTACTAATATTAATCTTTTCCTATGCTATCTCTTTAACAAAAAATATCGCTGCATTCGGATTTTGAAGTATAGCAAGAATCTAATCCTGCGCGAAATTTCGACATCATGAAAAACTAAATTACAATTTCGAACAATAGAATATTCACATCATTTAGAAGCGATTAGTGTATTCATCGTTTCAAAAAGTTGTTTTGCACACGAAGAAGAGAGTTAAGGAAGAAAATTACAACCAAATTGTGCCATTTCGTTCTGTATTTTATTTCTTGATGACAGTGGTTCTCAAATTTTTATGCCACGGCCTCTTTTTAGAATTTGTCAAGTGTCCCGCCCGACTTCAAAAATAACTAGCTAATAAATAAGCTACAAATAACATATATAGTAAGGCGGGAAAATGTTCAATTCAAAAAACACGTTGAAAATACGTGAATGGAAGGTAATATCCAAAATAAAGAAATGTAAATATCAAAAACAAGGCGGGCAAGATCAAACCAACAGATATATATTTTTATTTTGAATAGCTTCACGCCCCCTCAAAAAACTTTCTACGCCTCTCTTGTGGGGCGGGCCTCGCCATTTGAGAACCAATGGTCTAGGATATCTTACTGATCCCCCTTTCAGATTTTTATGTAATAATTTCATCTCTTCCCCCGTGAAGTCGCATTCGCTCAAATTAACACTTTCAGTTTTGCAGTGGACGAGTATGCGGGCCACATATTGGAGATTCTCCGGCCTCATTTTCCTGTTGCAGCTTATGTCAAAGTGCCTGATCTGCGTAAAAAAGAGGTAATAAAATTAATACTGTCTGAAAACTAGTTTAATGCCTAAGATACAATTGTAGTATATAATTAGTACGTCATATTTTCATCATATAATACTCATGGGTGTGCCAAACTTTTCTGCTATAAACAAGGCAAGTCACCGCAGCACCAAACTCCTCTCTGAGGCTTACTTTTGAACGTTAAGATCACATGGTGACTACGTTTTATAGCTGACATGGACAAACTAATGCCTGCGGGCCAAATCCGGCCCGTTAGGTAATTCAATCTGACACGCCTGATGATGCCGCAACTAAACTAAACCAAATTTTGATGTTTTTACTAAAAATAGCTCAATGAATTTGTTTAGATTGTGATTAAATTTAGTTTTGACATGAGGCTCATTATTTGCAATTTTTGCTTTTGTAATACTGTAAATATTGTTTATAAAGTGTTACTTTTTACGTCACACTTACATGGCCCTCCAGTCTAGGTGGGCAAAATTTTTCGCCCCTGGTCGGAAAACCTTGCCCATTCCTGTTCTATAGCATTTTATGTACCTTGCAACTTGTGACTTTTACGTAATCGTAGAGATCTTTCATTGCGTTGCTATCAAAGCTGCACTTCCGAAACACTATTCCGGTAAGCTCACTTCGTTTTTTTATAAACTCCGCTATCTTCGGGATGCAAGCTTGTGTTATAGTTGTATACTTGAATTCAACGTGTTGATTTCCATTTTCGGGTTTTGACGCTTCTTTGAGAATTGAATCAACTTCCTCCAGAGCCAAATCTAACATAATAAAATTATTGACTCGCCTTGTCGCTGATATCACACCATCTCTCATGAAGAAATATTACTATAGATATCGTTTTTATTTTTGTTGAACACCCTGTCGGGTTGGGGAAAGGTTCAAATGTGACTAGCTCACAACAAGTGTTTTCAGTAGCATGCAAAGCATAAATTCTGTTTAGAATAAAATAAGTTTATTTCATTTTCTTTACCTTCACTGTCAATGCTAGAAAGATAACTTGATGTGCTCTCGCAAGAATCACTTTCGTTTGTCGTCGCTTCGGTCGCTGCAGTTGATTCTGGATGTCAAGTTTTGCGAGAAAAAAATTTAGATATTATTCGTTCGATTTCAAATAAACAAAATAATCGATCCCGACTAAGGAAAAATTTGCTCGGCATGTCAAAAGAAACATACGTACTCGAGAGTACAAAACGCCTGGTCTTTCCAGTTTTAGTTGGAAATGTCGACTCAAGACCTCAAGCAAGTCTGATGTACGAATTTTAAAGCTATAGAGTTTGGACATTTTATTTTCGTCTTCAACAAATTGGAGAAAAAGATTACAATTTGTACAATAAAATAACTCAATATGTCAATGATAGGATGAAGTTGCATATTGGTATTGTAGTTTCTGGTACGACTCATTTTACTCGATAACAGTAAATGTAATATACTCGTATATGAATATCGAAATCTGTATCAACTCGTGGTTACGCTACTTTCATCATGCTCATTGTTACGCAAGAATAGCTTTTAATCACGAGTCTTCTGCTGTCTTGTTCCGGAAACACATTGGAAATTCTTGCCGTGCTATGTGAAAAAATTGATTTGAAGGCGCTCCAGAAGCATGTGTAGCAAGATAGCGGACACCGAAACGTCGTATGTGTGTGTACCAGTTTAGGGTTAGGCCATAATTTCATTTCAATTTCCCCTATTTTAGTTATATTACGAGTTCGGGGACTAGCTAAGTGACTTCCGTAGTATTTGTACCTAAAACTATGGCCCAACCTTAACCTGTTACACATACGAAGTCCCGATGTCCGGCAACTTGGTGCACATACTCCTGGAGTACCGATTTGAGTATATGCGTCAATTGCTGGTGCGAATATTTGGGAAGTAAGGTGCCTTACTTTATTTGTAATATATATTTGTAGTTGCCAACAACAAGGAGAACTACAACGGTCGGTATATACGCACCTATGCTGATTCTTGGAGCTAGAAGTTCTAAGCTGGATTCTTCATACGATGTACCCTGGAAATGATAATAAATACATGAGCATAAGCTTCAGTATTTTATAAAATATTTAGGATATTGACTAAGTGTTATTAGAGTAACAATGGGAGATAAGTACTGTGCTGCATTTCAGTACGTACCTTGCGTTTCTCTCGAAATAACATACCAAAATTCCAATATACTTTAATAGTTTGGCTGGGCTTTCAATAAATTTATCTCAAATAAAAGAAGTGAGAGTTTGTAACAACTTACGTAGATATGAAGTGCATGGGGTCTATAACTAGTCTACCATACGTCCCGGTCAGTCAAAAGTTCCGCTTTGGCATTCAGTCAGCACAATACACGAACATTACCAATTAGCATGTTGCTGTGTAACGTACTGGTTGGCTATTTACTGGGGGGTAAATGCGTGATTTTGTTTGTTTCGTTGTTTTTCGCTAACATTGTTAGCGGTTATTTGGTACAATTTCTTAAGTGTAAGTCCTGTACGTCAAGAGGGTGCTGGTCAGCAGAACTTGAAAGCCGTCATCACATGTATAATCAATTCTGATTGTTCTGCTCTGACTTTCACGAGAATGTGACATTGAACAACGTCTTTTCGAAGAAGGTGTTATCTACAGAAAAGTATGATTGGGCGAATAAGTAAAATCTCCATGTTTCAAGCCAATGAGCATATATACAATGAGTGGAAACTTCCAAATATTTGCTCATTAATCCATTGTACCCTGCATCTTTATGTCGTCCAGCTAAATGGTTCGTTGCATATGAAGAAAGCACATCGTTCGCTGCAAAAATCCCTTGTTTCAGCTGGGTCGAGTGCGAAATTGACCGTTTTGAGGCTTTTAATTTTTCGATTCGTGTTCGGTTTTGGGTTTCGAAGTATGGTACGTTGAAAACATACTAACTATAAGCATATGCATATTGGGAATACATATCTATTAGGCAGAAAACGTAGCTATAGAACAGAATATGAATCAGTCGCCACGTGGGGTGCGGTTATTGCTGTATTTATTCATTGATATAACATGGGACTAGGGCTGGGCATTTTCGAATACCTTGTGATTTCAGAATCGAATCGAATAATTTTTTCGAATCGAATCTCGAATACTTGAAAATATAAAATTGTAAGCGACTTTATCATAGTAATTGGTCCTCTCAACAAATGAATTACTGAAGACCTAGAATAAATCACTCAGATAGATTACTGAGCGTTCACACAGAATAACAAACACGTTTTATCAATAACTCACTACAGAAAATAGTCATATGTTATAATTTCGTTGAAAAAATATGACTGCAATGAAAAAAAAATTGGGGAATTCACCTCGACCATTAGCGGAAAGATAAAAACAAGATGGCGGCGATTCGAAATTCCAGGCTGAACCGATTCGAATAATTTACGATTCGATTCGAATATTCGATTCGAAATGCTCAGCCCTACATGGGACTTACATATTTATCCAGGGGGAGAGGAAAGCCTAATAAATGGCGAACCACGGCCTCTCCAAATAGCTCTGTGCGCCATATGAACCCCCAGGCTGCCTGGACTTTGTGAGCTATTCGTATACTTATTAAAAACACTGATTTTAACTATAAATTACTCTGGGATATCTTGCCATTGAAATTTAAAAGTTGCCATTTTCATGTCTTGTGAATTTACATGTCTTGTTTTTGACTGAAGCCAGATATCAACAAGACGGTGGCATTTCACTAGGCTCAACCTTCACATTATACTAGGATAGGATTAACATATTTATCCCGGGGGAGAGGAAAGCCGATAAGACGGCTTATCCATATGGCGAACCACGGCCTCTCGTCCGGTTACCATTCCAAGTCGGGTACGGGATTAGTTATATTGTTTGTTTTCGGAAGCATGGACTTGGTGGTGGAGGAAGCCATAACCGACCAGCGGTTACGTGAACCACCCAACGACGGCGAGGAGTCCAGCAATCCTCTCGCACATAACTATTCCTGCATGGGATTCGAACCTGCGAGCGTATTCCTAATGATAAATGGAGAATAAATTTGCTTTGACTGTTTTTTTTTGGGGGGGTTGGGGGGGGGGGGGGTTATTAGTTGAAAAGTCGTTCTATCGACCAATATGACCAGAACGAGCCATTATCACGTTGCAAATGTGGCGATGCCGCGTAGCCAAAAACTTGACTTTCAAAACTTTTATCTAGCTTTGTTCGGAGCAAGAAGCTTGAGTAAGTGTCGTATTACGTCATTATACAAAAGGTCGCCCCAGCCTTTTGAGAGATGTGAGATGTGATGAATTGATCAGGTATATTGTTGTCCTTGTTGAGGTGCTTTTTGTTGTTGTTGAAGTTATTAACTGCAACCAATGGGCCGATTTCAATTTTTAGTACTTGAAGATGGGATAAGTCGCTAAAAGGGTATTACTTTCATTTTTTCCTGATTGAAAATATATTTTTTTGCCAATGTTTTCACCTTACCTGTTGTATTGAATAGGGTTCATAGTATGCAGATGGCTGGTGATATTGGTCGGAATCTGGCTTCAGAAAACTGGCCATTTTCAGAAGGTTGTTTCACTTTCGTATCTAAATAGAAATATACTATTGGTTAGTTAGAGAAAATATTGCTTACGGCACTGCTTTTGCGCTTTTTACAGTTTTCCAAGATATTGTGTTTTTGGGCAATAAGTGTAAGTTACATATGGATCGTTTTGTTAAATTGTTGTTTTTGTAGTTAATGTTGCCCTTGTTTTTTTCGCAACTAACAGACTCGATTTCAAATTTCCAGTACTGTACTTGAAAGCGGACAAAGTCACTATTACGCTGTATTAGTGTAAGTTTCAAAAAGATTGACAGATATTTCCATCCTTTCAAGACATTTAAATTAAAGCCTATAAAGTAAGGCTGAAAATTTCAGAATAAACACCTTAACCGTTAACCGGGTAATATTAACCGGTTAACCGCAGCGTGACGTTTGGCGTAATAATTTGTGAATTTAGCTCGTTACGTCACAATGGTTCCAAAGCAATTTCTCAAAATATTCACGAATCGAGATTGGTTCGTGATCGCTCTGCTGCAAGAGATATGCATTTTAGCAAAACCCGATTCCGTTATTAAATGTCATTTATGTGACAAATTTCCGGTATTCGATGTGCAAATTCTACTTTGAGAAAACATAAAGAAAAACTACATCAACTGCGCACCTTGAATAGACGATTTTGCAATAAAATCTTGAACATTATGTTTTTCCCGTAAACTGATTCTGAATTTATCATCGTCAAATTTACATAACCAGCAATCTTGGTACTTCAATTATTTTTCACATTTATTGGGTCCTTACCAATGCAGTTAGGGATATTCTTTTGAATTATACGCCACAGGAGAGAAATTCGCTGTGATGTAATCATTTTTGAAGAAATTGTACATTATAAAGATGATTTGTACCTGAGATGTCAGTTAACGGTTAAAATAAATCGTAACCGTTAGCCATCTAAAATCGATTAACCGATTAACTATTCCCAGCCCTACTATAAAGATAAACTGTACAGATTGAACTAGTCATTATTACTGTATTAGCTTGAATGTTTTAAAAGTATAACTACCCGAAAGTTCATGACATTCGCGTATCTTTTTATTTCGTTTAACTGGGCTTGTGTTTCTTGTATTTTTTTTTGTGTGTGTGCCTGTGGGCGGGCACATTCTCCATTTTTAATTCGTTTTTAATTGTAACCAGATAAGAAATTCATGTCCTACTCCCTTTAAAGCACTTTGTATTAGCTCTTTAGTGATCCCTTCCATCCTTTGCCAAGTAATGTTTCGAATATGTAAACATTTTACTCGCCCCTGCATGGCCGTTGAGCCAAGAGTAGAACTTAAAATCAATCGTGAACTTCGTTGTAACAATGCACACTGACTCGTTCACGAATTGTTGCGTCTATTATCATCGAAAATGATTACAATTGTTAAATTTTGAAGCATTTGGGCAGTTAATTAAGCCTCAAGGCTCAAGGCATGACATAATCAAAATCATTAAGTGAAGTGCTGAATTTGCAAATTCCGTAAAGAAAATTGAGCATTACTCAGTACGTATTTTAGCTATAATAACCATCGGGGTGTTGTTTTGTTGAAAAAAAAAAAACGTTAGAACTTGAAGGAATTAGGTATAATTAGAGTCTGACCCTCTATTAGGCACAAAGGTCTAGAAATGCCTTCATTGCCAATTTATTTAATCGCTATTTTAAATCAACATTCAGGATTCACGCAATCGTAAATTTGCTAGGTTTATCTATCTAATACTAAAATAACACGGACACCATAGAAAAGCATGAGAAACTTAAATATCATTATAATAAATATCTGCATCTCGGTTACCGTTCACTTTAAACATGCACAGTTCGTTTACAAGCGATGATACGGAAGATCGAATCCAAGGCAGAGGATAACCTTAGAATAGAATTAATTTGGTTTTGAAATCAGTCCTTAAATGTATTCAACAGCTGTCGCCGATGTGAGCGCAAGGGTATACTAGAAATATGAAATTTCGATATTCGGCGACCGCTTATTCTTGCAAAAACGAGAAAGGGCGGAAATATAGAATACCAACTTTAGGATATCGCCGCCAAAACGATCGCGGTGACAAAGACAATCAGCAATTATGATAAAATTAACCATTAAAAAAGCTTTATTGCCGACTTTTTAATGTTTCTATGAATTTCCAAATGGAGTATCGACCTCCGACGTTCTGGATCCCTGTTATGCATAAAAAAAATATTCAAATTATCCGATTGGAAAAAAGATTCAATTTTGCCCCCCCCTACTCTAACAGCTTTTCAATTAGGCTTTGATTTCCAATAAGTTTGTCAAAGCGGGTCGTAATCGTTGAGGATGCAAGCTGCAGTAGCTGCTTGAGATGATCGCCAGATTTTTCGGGACTATTTTCGATTACTGGAACAAAATTAAAATGCTATAGAAATAAAAATAATCATCGAGTTATTTGATTTATACATAAGATCTGGAAATGCGACAAAAACTGAAAATCCACGAAAGCAAGTTAATGATTACAACCATGTCTAAAATCTTTCCAAGTGAGAAGTGTCCGATTGGCCGCGAAAACGCTCACTGTCGCGTCACTATTGCATCTTATAGGTTAGTCAACGCTACGCAAAAAAAACACGGGGGAATCCATTCGACTAACTAATAGACTTCAGCATTTTAATTTCGAGTCAATGATTAGTTTTCAATGAAAAATGTTCTTTGAAAATTATTAGTTTTTTAAACATTAACGGGAGCCGCAGGAAAGGTTGTTGAGAGCCGCATGCGGCTCTCAAACCCTAGTTTGAGAATCACTGGTTTAGCATGTATTTTCAGTCATACATACCATCCCTGGCGCTGTGTTGTTTTGATAAATATGATTTCGACTGCTCCATAGTTGGCAGAAGTATGGAAATTTTTTGTATGTAAAAAAAACGTAAAATTAATGGTAAATTTAACGCGTAAATGCGCGTATGGGATTGTTTACGTCGTTCTACGCGCATTTCCGTCGAAAAAATATAATTTTTTTTGCATTGGGGGTGGTCTGTGCAGTAATAATAAGAGCTGTGACGTCAATAAAATCGGTAATTGAAGCGTTGAACATGATACACCTGTAAATACAATTGTGAATTCAGAGTAATAACCATTTATGCTATAATAGTCGTTTCGGTATTGTTATGTTAGGAAAAACTTGACGAAAACGTTGAGGAAAAAATTAATTAATTAGGAATTAATCATTAACCCTCTGCTGTACACAGAATTTCTCAAGGTCCAATTTTTTTTTAGAAATTTTTTTTTTGGAGGAGTGTGTTTTAAAGATATATTGCTGAATAGAACTCTAGCACACTCTTTTAAAAAGCCATGAGTGAAGCTTTCCCTAGAGTTTCGGCCTGGTCATGAATGGCTAATCTGTGTCATAATTTGGGATTATGGCTAAATTAAATGTATTTTGGGGGGTCAATAGTATTTCATAGTGGTCTGCATGTGAACAAAACCAATTTCAAAACTCAAAATGTTTGAGTTTAAATTATCCATGCTTGATCCAAGTGTTCTTAATTACGGTGACGTCATCGTATTTTTTTATGTATAATTTTTATTTTGCAACATGGTCAATTTTATTTGTATGAGTATTTCAAAGCTTAAAAATAAACAAAGAATCTGTTGTTAGTTGAAAACGAAGTATTTTGAACGCACGAGCAACGTTCTCCGGCTCATAATAAACAAACAAAGATACCAGACAGCACGCGATCAAATGCTCTTCGATAAAACGAATATCACTTCACTTACAAATCCCAGTCTTGTTTTATTTTGAAGGTGACGTATAGCTCTTCTAAAAGAGAACTCTTTCTCTCGCATATCAATCACGTGTCGACCACAGCGCTAAAAGTGAGAAACTTTTTCTCGAAATTTTTTGAAATTTCTATCTTCTTACCGTCGTACGGCGTACACATTTGCGCTACGTAATTTGGGCGCGTTTTAGCGGAAAGCGACAAAATTAAGCTTTTTAAGGACACATTAATGATGTTTTTGGCATTTTTGGTTGGTGAAATATTAAAAAAATTATAGAGGGGTGTCAAAATGACCCAGGGACACCCGAGATCATTAGGTTTGGTTGACAAAAAAAATAATTTTAAAAATACCTATGTTAAATAAAATGAGTCCATAGCTGGAAGAGTTAACAAGATAGGATTTGTGTTATATTTTTAGTGTCATACTAGTTACTCCCATTTATTTATAGGTATGTTTGTCCGGTATTTACATTCCATTATAAGTCAAAAGTTCATGATTGTGACGTCATGGACTGGTTTTACTTTTCAGTACTGTATTTTTTTAATTGTTTATTGTATTTTTCATTGGAGTAGTTGGTTGTATTAAGTTCTTACATGTGTATATCTAATCTAGTTAGTTTACCTAGTTATTCTGCTGTATTTGTAACCGCAAGTAGATCATTTGCGATTAACATCTATTGCAACTTCAGGGTCCGAGATGCTGGCAGAAAGAACCTGAGTGGTGATACCAATACTGGTACGCCACATATAAGAACAATTTTTATGGGTATGGCCTGGGAATGATTCGGCCGGCCAAGGCCCAAAAGTATCCGTGCGCGACTTTTTACCCAAGTATTGGATCATTCAACTCTCGTTTAATTAATAAAAGTTCTTCATTCCATTAACAATACAAAATGTTTTGACGGGGATGTAACACAACGACAGTGCAAATTTAATATTATCTATTGCGTAGAAGGGGTCTGGTTGCTTGGCGACGGCTGAAAATAACAATATTTATACCTCAGCATCTTTTTGAAATGAAGGTGACTTGTTTTTGTCGTTTTGTCTTGGAGCTAGTGTCAATTTTATTCCCAATCTTTGTTCTCGCTTCTTGTCGTCAATCCTTTGTTAATCTAGATTGAATATCTATTGTTATAACACATTATTGCGACATACAAGGGAAACAACGCAGGTGTCACCGCGCTAACAATATTTGAAATGATACCCACGCGAGGACTCCGGAATTCACCTTTTTCGTAACTAATGAACCAATCAGTCCTTGGAAATGTTTCTTTTTCATGTAATTAACCAACCAACGGGACTTGATATTTCACCAATAAAATTCGCATTTTTATTTGATGTCATGGGAGCTTTTTCTCATAAAAATGAGAAATCTTTATTCCGCCGTGCTTATCCGACGATTTTTTTTGAGCAAACTTGGTGCTCGGCCGAACCTCTGTGGCCATCTATAATCTACCCTGGTGTTTATGCACACGAGCATGTCTCTCGTTGAAGTTAGTTTGGTCTCACTGGTACAATATTGCTATTTCATTAGTAGGCTACTCGTGTAGTTTTTATTTTATAAAACCACACGTTCCAGAATAGCACTCACAATGGACGTCATCAGGTCATTACGTCATAGATAGTCGTACAGAAGCTATTTGATTTTTCTAATGTGTGTTTGGGTATTTCTGACTGATCCGGAAACGATTAAGTTCCACAACCGGGCGTGTTTTATCGCCATTTTAATTTGTGTGTATTACAAGTTAGGACAAAAAACTAGTTGTTACCTTTAAAAGACACTCTTGTTTCTACTTTAAGAAGTCTATGCCACTGTATTTTACCGTACAGCTTGTTTAATTAAAGGGAAGTTGGCCGACACGTTGACAATCGGTGTACCCGGAGTAACAAATATTTGTATTGACAACAGAGTTGGATCAGCTGTAATTGATGTAATTAATTACAGTTTTTCATGTAATGGTAATGGAGGCATTTACATTCTGTGTAATTGTAATTTGCAAAAATTTTGGCTCAATTACACTTTCAATTAGACTAAATCTTAGTATTTTGAAAATGGATGAACATCGAACAAACTCTTCCGAAACCCGTGTTGAATCACTTCCTGTACCATTGTCAGAGATCTTTGAGCAGCACTGAGGCATGCTGTAACAACTGCAAAAAGAAACTTAGGTTGTCCACCAAGGCTTCGTCAAACTTGATCACGCATTTGAAGAGATGTTCTCGTCATCTATCTCCTACAAACATAAACTTCAAAAGAAACATCAGGAAAACAAGATGTAGGCTAATGTTGATCATAGCCAACTGCCTATCAAGTCATTTTCCCAAACTTCTTTTTCCGAGCAATGGCAGAGAATTTAAAAAAGAAAAGACCAAGAAAATCAGAAAGTGAAGTAGAAAGATAGCTATTTGTGGGTTGCAATTTGATGAAGACCCATCAATGTATTGGAAGAAGAAATCAGAAGAATTTCCCACGCTTGCTTTTTTAGCCAAGGATTATTCGGGACTAACAGCAACATCAGCCCCGTCAGAAAGACTTTTTTCAATTGCGAGTAACTTTTATACGGCATGAAGAAATTTATTGGGGTCAGAAACTTTTCGCAGCCTTATCTTCATCAAGTGCAATCCAACAGTTTTGGCGCAAGTAAAATCGTTAATATGAACCAAAATGTTATAATTGTAAATGTAATTTGATATTTTTGCACGGAGTAATTGTAATGTAATTGAAACATTTGAGGGAGTAATTGTAATTGAACTGAATTGATGTAAACTCTGAAATTTGACAATATACTGTATTTTACGACCTATAGGGCGCATAGATTGAGTTTTTGTCCATACATACGGCGCATCGTACTGGTACTAGTTTTAATTGTAGGTAATAAATTACTTACTACCTGATTCATTTATACGACGCAAGATCGATTTTTGCGGAGAAAAAGTATTGTACGTAAATTCGGTAAGCATTATCATCTGACTTTTGGTAGGAGTTTCTGGCGTAAACGAGAGATATAGAAAAAAGGCAACGAAAGCGTCAGAGAATGACAGTTATTTAAATACCGCTGATCGGAACGGATGGAGTCATAGCTACCGTGGCACTTGTAGCTGATCCCACCCCTGCGCTACTCCACAGCCCTTGAATAAAAGAGTCGAACCGAGTTGAAGTTAGAAAACAATAGACCAATTTCGAATTTGAGCGCTGCTCTGTTTATATACAACTCTAATTTGATTGGGCGGTTAATTTGTATATATATATATAAATTCAAATAATCAAGTTTTGAGCATGTCAATTTGTTTCTTGTTCAAAATACGCGAATTTTCTTTCATGATGTGAATACATTATGCATCCATTTCATTTAGCGCTGGTGTTTTGTGGGCCCGTAATGACATATACAGGCTTGTCCATGGGACCTCCAGAAGTATGCGCACCAAGATGGCGCACAACCTGAAAATGCTATGTGTGTACCGGCTAGGATTCAGGTTGTACGACAACTTGGTGCGCATACTTCTGGAGCACGCATATTTTTTTGTCTCATTCCATCACATAGTAATTTATGCTTGTCCCATCCCATGGGATTCCCATTGGAATACAATTCAATGAAAAGATGTTAAATTCAGATTTTGGGGTCTACTAAATAGAACAACATGTACGAAATTAACATGTACGAATTTGCTGACTTTGTTAACTTCAAATTCATAACTATTAGATATTATTAATGCTGAATATATTTTGCTTTTTATAACTAACGTGAGAGTTATGCTTAAATATATGGTCACAGAGTCCATAACGAAATGTTTTACCATCGTTTCCCCGTAAATCATACGGTATTTCGTGTCCCATGGGAGATACAAAAGTGTGCTGTCCCATCCCATTGGACGTTTCCCATGGGAATCTCATTCCCATAAACAAGCCTGGACATATATATGTAATTTTTTATGTGTCGGTGATTTAATTTGCTATTGATAATAATAGGCGAAATAAACAATAAGAAAAAGTTGAACAAAACAATAAATTGTCCGTACCTTGGGAAAGAGAAGTAACTTCCTCAAATGTATTGTTTTCGCTGTTTTGTCTTGTGGTTGTTGTTAATTCATTAATTCACTCTCTATTCTTTTTTAATCCTAATTCAAAATAATTCCATTGTTACAGAAAACATTACCATTGCGACATAAGGGATCAATAAGTATCAATGTCAGGATATTATTGCACGCAATAAGTCTGGCCGCGGTACGAAATACTTTTTTTTGTTCGTAATTTTAAAACATTCAATTTTGAGTAATTGGAGAAAGATTCTGTTTGAACGCTTGTTACTGCGTATCAGTTACGCTTGGATCAAAGGGACGAGATGGAGAAACCCGATCCTTTGATTATAAGGACTTACCAAATATCGAACAGGCCATGCAACATCAACCTAAAATTGAACAGAACAATACATTGTCATTGTCTGTCTCTGCAACGGAATTAACTTCTCAAATGTCTTGTTTTCGATGTTTGGTCTTGTGGTTGTTGTTAATTTAATTCTTAAGCCGAGCGCTGGAAAAATAAAACCTTGTATAATAAAACTAATTTACTTTTTTTCGTAATTTCAAAACATTCAATTTTGAGTGAGTGAAGAAAAATATTGTTTGTACGCCAAATAGAACTCAGTCATTTCAAACCCATCCCACGAGGTAATAAAAGAAATAGCACAAGCATAAAATATTTGACATTAAATCGTATGAGAATTCATCCTCATGGCATAAAATTTCACTATTTCGTAGTTTGGGTCAATTATGCCTTCAATACTAAATTAGAAATTCATTGAAACGAGGATTGAAATCGTTTTAACACTTCTTTTCGACGTTAAAATTGCTTGGGAAAAAGAAAAACGTTATGATGAAGGTTTTTCTTTTAATATCAGCAAGCTTCTATCCTGTTTTATTAAGGTGCCTACGGTGAATCTCAATATGTATTTTTGATTTTAAGCCCCTAATATACTTGTCTTTAGGTCCCATATTTTCTATAAAGGCGGAGACTTCATTACTGCGTCGAACCAACTAATAGTCCATTAGGATGAACCACCCTTCCTAGACTCATCTGAAACATCTGCTATGACAAGGTTTGATGGTTAAATACTTGTACTTTGATTATAAAGAGAATATATATGAAAAATAAGTTGTTGCGCTGTATGCTATTGATGCGCCATTCTTTCATCTCATTGTTTGTATTTTGCATTATAAATCTGATCCGATTGGCAACCCTATACCCACCCCCCATTCAATGATTATCGAATACACCTACGACACAATATAAAAAAAAGTAAGGTTCCGTCATGTTTTTGTTTTTGAAATTCTTCATTTAACAGCGTGCCATGTTATAGATTCTGAATACATTTGCTTTTTTGAATAGTGTCTTTTATTATCTCGATTCCTTTATTGAAATTTTTTTATCTACTTATTCGGATTTTCAGTCTTCCAAGGAGGATAAAAGAAGTTAAATTGTTCTACAAAAATCCAAAAAGCATTTATTTTACCAAGCTCCTCTAGCAGTCTATTAGAAATTGTTTAGTTTACTTTTTAATTGTCACTCACTACACTGTGGTAAACTTATTGATTTTAATCCAAATTCAGCTACCCTATTATTCTGGCACTGTCCCAATCTTAGTTATTTCTCTCTATCGGAAACAGACCAACATTTGATATTTATGTGCATGCAATTGCGTTTCTTGTCACAGTTGTAAAATGCTTGTCTAAAAAGAAGGCTGACGTCGGTCAGACGAAACGTTACAGAAATATATTTGTGTAAGTGTGCAGCAAGACAAATGTAATTAAATTGAATAACCAATATATATGGAGGTAACTAATTTTGTTCGCCTACTTCACATCAAGTTGTGTGAAGGAACTGCAATCTACGCCATGGGCAGGGGGGTTATTCACTTGGATAACAATATAAATAAATAGGGGAAAACGGAATAAGATAATGGTATAACCCTACCCTAACATGGTACACACACTACGGGTGTACCCATTTTTTGTTGTTGTTGTTATACAAAGGTGATAAAACTGCCTTTTCTCTTCGAAATTTGATTTTGCCAAAGTTCGAGCTGGAGTCGGAGTCGAAATTTTTTAAACCCGGAGTTGGGAGTTGATACTTGTAAATTTCCGCTGGTATAGAAGTCTAGACCAGGCATGTCCAACCTTTTTAGTGTTGCGGGCCACTTTCACATGAGGAAATTCATTGCGGGCCGCAAACGTTTTGGCGGAAATATTTGTACCAAGATGACGCACAGCCTGAACTATAACCTGGTACACATACTATGTTCCGGTTGTGCGCCATCTTGGTACGGATACTTTGGAAGCACAAATGTTTTTACCAAACTAGAATACCAGCCCAGTGCCGACTGCTGATTTACTTTAGAATTTGAGCGTCGCTAAATCAAACGCCTGGATTGCACAACCCTTTGCGGATTTCTGAACACAACTTGCACACAAACAACAAGAAGTCCAACTTAACATTTATGCAAAATACACTACCCTCAAGCAATGTAGGACTACATCGGCATAAAAAAATTAATTTACTCCTATGCTTCGATTTCTTAATTTTCAATTTCAAAAAGAAAGATTTGCACATATACGTTGTGCCTATTGCCGCCGCAATACGCATTGTCATTTGTCTCAGGATGAAAAACTTATCTTCATTTCAGTGGGTGACGGGACATCAATTCAAGTTGCGTATATTTTGGGGCCTCTTTTATCCGAATGTCAACGGGACGCATACAAAATTTTAAAGAGGCTGTCGAATTTTGCAATTAAGCGAATCTCTCTCTAAATGCTCTCAACAACTTTGCGACTTCGTCTCAAATATTTATAGAAATCCATATTGTTGCTGTCGAAGCTATTTAGTAATGGAAAAAATGAACTGCTTTCTTCAATTCAAATTGAGTTTTATACAGTTCAAGCTTTGTGATAAATGCCTGTATATCTTCAAAACAGTCTTTAATTAATTTCACAATGGGTAGAAAACTCACAGTATTGTCACAGATGTCGCATATTGAGTGGCCCTCTGCAAAATCATATTCTGTGGCGTTAACAGCGCTTTTCTTGTGGAGGAGCCGCGTGAAATTGCAGCCTCAAATCTAGTAGGATTTGATATCATACCAGAAAATTTTATGTTAAATATGTTTGTACGTCCGTATTTATATAAAAACCTCATGCGGGCCGCGGGTTGGACACCCCTGGTCTAGACTCTAGCTAGGTGTCGGTTTGCCATATACGTATCGTCAACAAACTCAAATATATTCACCATACCCCGAACCATATCCCTTCATGAAATTTTCCCCTTATAAAAAGAAAATATGGGAAATTCAAAAATATTTATAATCTTACCAAAGATATAAAACTGAACAGTTTTGTATTGAAAATCACAATAATAATTCAACAATTAGTAAGAGCGTCATGAAATTGTCTTAAAATACCATTCCATTCATTTCATTGACATCATGAAATTACATTTAGGATTCAATCATACTTTAATCTACAGCAGTTTGAGGTGGAATTTCGTAATATAAAAAAAGGTTCTTCACGCTATCGCTAGGTGGCGCTAATATGCTAGCTTTGGTACTCCCGAAGTATGCAGACTAAGATAGCGGACACCGGAACGTAGTATGTGTACCAGGTTAGGATTGGGTCATAATTTTATTTCAATTTTCCTTATTTTAGTTCTATTACAAGTTCGGGGACTAACCAAGTGACTTCTGTAGTATTTGTACCTGAAATTATGGCCTAACCATAGTCTGGTACACATAGCCTACAACGTTCCGGTGTCCGCCATCTTGATTTACACACTTCGGGAGTTGCGGTGTTTTGCCAGGGAAGTTGGAAAGTTCGATTTCTGACTCATTTTTTATAAAAACTCGGATTTGACTCCGATTCCGCTTCGGAACAAATTTCGACTTCAGACCCGAACTCAGAAAAATAAAATTTTAATACCAGAAAACATTAGCTTAAAACTTTTTAGAGCTCATGGTAAACTTGATGCTTTTTCTAATTTTCGAAAAATATTTTGACTCTTATTATCATCATTGAAATTCCGACTCCGGTCAGTTTGAAAATTTGAGATCGACTCCGGTAAAAACAAGCCAAACTCCGACCACGCAGCTCCAGTTACTACCGTACTATATATATTCGCCTTTATTACCAAGTGTGTTCCCCCTTTCAAGTATACTATGTGACGAATGGTATACTTCCAAGTATAGTATGTAACAGGTAGGTCTATAATACACAATTACTTCACAATAACATAGCAGCTGTTCAATACAAAGCATTGCACACAGAGTATTTTAAAATATTTTTATTGCTGAATAAGTATCATAACAGTATATATAATAGTTAGAACAACTCAGATTTCAAATATATATTTATACATAACTCTTCAAAATTGCCTTCTTTGTGTTTGCAAAAACCGGCAAAGGATGCAAGTTGTAACATCGATAAATACAAGGAGCTAAACGGCCAAGGTCTTAGGTGCACCAACTCGAGACAAAACAGGAAACTACTTGTTCAATCTCTTATATTGGCAAATTGCATGAGAATGTTATTCATAGCAGTACATGTTTCTTAATTAGTGTAAAGCAGTGATTCCAAACCTTTTTTAGTAGCGACTTTAATTAAAAAATAAACTTGTGAAATCTTGCAAAATTATTTTTCATGTTACTTACGTGGTAATACTCGTATGTTTTTGTTAAAAAACAAGCGACCCAAGAGGATTTGCAGGCGATTCAACCTTGGGTCGCTGCCCCTATTTTGGGAAACATAGCTGTAAAATTTTTTTATCGCCTACTATTACCAACTGTGTTTAAATTAGTTCTAGAAGACGATTCATATTCAGTCCATCAAAGTATTTTTAGTGTGACCTGGGAAATACAAGGATTTCATCTGATCGGGGATAAGAAGTTTCAAACATAACACGGCCCTTTATCGGTCGTTAGAATCCATATTGAGAAAATAAAACGGGACCTTCTTTTCTCATCCGTTCCACTTTTTCGGAACTCCTAGCAAGTACTACTGGTGGAGATACCATCCGAAGCATCGTGGGGCATCTCATCCTGCCACTAAGCATTGTGTGTTGTTTAATTTCTTCACAAGTCGGTCTTTCTTCGCCATCCAATGCTAACATCCACGCTATCAAATCTATGACGTATGAGGTTCCCATTTTCACAAGATGATCTAAATCCCTGTTGATATATTTCTTGATATTCTTGTTCCAGTCATCTGGATCGCTACCAAAAGGATGGCGACCCCCACTCCACATGAAAAAGTAGACAAGACCGAGAGAAAAAATGTCAGCTTTTTGCGAAATGATATCCTTGTTGTATGTTTCTGGGGCTCTCCATCCGTCAGTGCCGACTCGTGCATGGGTCAATGCCGTAACGGTTCGTCCGCTTCTCATTTCTTTGCTCACGCCGAAATCAGAAATTTTGAGATGTTTTCCGTCGAGTGTGACCAATATATTACTCGGTTTCAAATCACGATGAATTATTTTCTTTTCGTGAATGTGAGCGAGGCCATCAACGAGCTGTTTTGTGAAAATCTTTCTGATTTCTTCCGTCAAGTCTTCACAGCCATTTGCAAATTCACGAAGCGTTTCGTTTCTGCACATCTCCATAACGATGAATATGTATTTCACGGGACCAGATGAGTGAATACCAGACTGTATCATGCTAACGACATTTGGGTGACGACTCAGTTTCACTAGGATTTTTGCTTCCTTCTCATTCTCTGTGTAATACGGAATCAGCTTCACCGCAACCGGAGTGACACCGAATTCTCCATGGATTTGTTGACCTTTGTAAACGAGACCGTACTTCGATATCTTTTCATTTTGCGACATTGAAATTGATTCAGTCAGCCAGACTGTATCTGGAATAAGTAAAAGAGAATTTAGATAATTCTTAAATTATCATAAATCACTGTGTCGCCCACCGAGGGAAAATTTGAAGCCGATTCGGACCTTTCAAGTCGGGTTTGCCATGATTTCAAAGTTGATTTCAATTTTGAAAACAATTTTAGAAATCAGAAAAGCTCTCTAAACCATTCATCGCATTCATTTTTTAATAGGAGGTTCGGAAGGTCTGGTTGGAACAGTGGTTCTCAAACAGTGGGGCGCGACCCACAAGGGGGCATAGACAATTTTTGAGGGGGCATAAAGCTAATTTAAAATAAAAATATTTGTTCCATTTCATTTTGTCCGCCCTATTTTTTTTAATTTTTTTTAATATTTACGTTCCATCCACGTATTTTCAACGTATTATTTGAATAAAATATACTTTCGCCTTACTATTTATTATTTGTAGCTTATTCTTAGCTAGGTATTTTTGGGGTGGGCGCGAGTCTTGACGAATTCCAAAAAGGCGCGCGGCTTACAAAGTCTGAAAACCTCTGGGTTAGAGTAGAGGCTTGCGATTTCGGATTTGTAGATCTGGTAACTTTCATAATTCCGCGAAGGTCGTTGTGCGTCATTAAATTTATATTTCATACATTCATGTTTGGACATTGCAAAATATCAACTGCCAAACTAAACTCACCGTCATCAGATACCGCTCCCTCTGACTCAATTTCCCGGTCTTTATCTTGATTTATTGTGACGTTTGATGCTCCCATTGTGACAATATTTGCGTCAATTGGTCCAGTGTATTCTGCAAACGCATTATATAATTTAGTGCTACTGTAGCGTATGATCCTTTTTTAGATTGGGGAAAAATATCTGCAACATTTTGAATCGATGTTAACTAGTTCTGTTGACTCTGACTCCAGCTCCGTGAAAATCAGATTTTATACGAGAAAACTGGGCGTATGCAACCTTTTTCAATACTTTTTGGGTTTCTGTAACGAATTTCCGACTACTTTTATCGGCGCTCCACAAGTATGTGTACCAATATAAAGGTATCTAATTTTGTTCTTTACATCAAGATGTGTAAAGAGACTGCAACCTATGGGCAGGGGGTATATTCACTTTGCTAACACAGACAGTCCCGAACTCGTAATAGAACTGAATAGAGAAAATCAGAATAAAATTATGGCCTAACTCCAACCTGGTAGCCTACACAAACTACGGGAGTACCGAATTTTGAGTTGAGTTGGAAAATCGGCTCTGGTAAGAATCCGCAGCGCTGATTTGAAACTATTTTAGGAAACTCAATAACTTGGAAATGTCACAGACAGTCAATGTTAGTTCGGAATTTACCTTGCTTAAGTATCACCATGGTCTGGACATTCAAGTTCTGAACTCGTAATTCCGTTGAAGTATTTTTCCGTTTTTTCAGTTGAATCTTCATCTAAGGTTGGGGAATCCATCGTTAATCTGTTAAAGAAATCTTCCATTTTTCCAAACTTGTTCTTTGATTTCTAAGCGCCAAATGAAGACAACAAACAAATTATCTAAGAAATATAGCGAGTAATATTGCTGACTCAATGGATATTTCTGTAACCAAATTTAATTGCGTGTACAAAGGTTACTTAAGGGACAAGGAAGTATGCTCGTGTGCAAGATAGCAAAATAAAGAGTATTATTCAATAGCCCAACTCAAAGGTATGAATAAACTCTGATATCAGCGCTTGGTGGCCTTTCCTTAACTTAAGTTAGCAAAAATCTAAAAGATGGCACAATAACTTCAACCACTTTAGCCGACCGAACCCAACTAAAATAATCATGTCAAAAAATTTGTGGTGGGACACAAAAGCGAGCTCAGTCCATTTTTTTGCAAGTTTTTTTTCCACGACTCTTGCTCGCGCCTATCGATTCTCAACGATATCATGAATCTCCTCACAGACCTCGCGGTCAAAGTTATCCAAGCGCGCAGTTTTTTCTATCTCGGTTGGTTCATTCGGAAAAGGATTGATAGTAAGCCAAAAATCATCGGTTTATCAGTGAATCTCTCACGAACAGAGCAAAATACAGCCTGGCTACGAAAATGCAATTTCTAGATAAGGGCAATTCATACACAATTATATTCTAGTTTATGCAATATTATAAATGTTTTGTCACACTTTAAAATTATTGGGGTATCTTAAATTTGAACGAGGTGTTCACCCCCTAAATGGGGGTGTAGGAAAATCCATATTATTACGAGCAAACCATATACTAAGAAAGTCAATGAGTCATCTGATTTCACCTTAATGTAACAACACAACAATGAAACGAGATGATGATGCATAAGTTTGACGTCTTTTGCACTATACAAAAGTATTCAAAAGATTTCATGTGTCACGGACCATAATGTAACCACTGTATGCTATTTACCAGACCTTTGATTTAGGTGGTTTTGACCGGGTCATGACTCCGGCCACTCATTTCACGTGCGAGAGAAAATATATCTCTTTTTTTTCGCCGGCCGTCGGGCTGGAAGTCGGCTGAGTTTTGTTTTGTACTCTGTTTCAAGTGTTATATTGTGTAGTTACAATAAACAACCAATTTGGAATTGTTTTTCAGTCAACGTAGTCCCTATAACCTCGTAGTTGTGGATTGAGACTTCTCCCAAATTGTTTCAGTTTTCCATAAAATTCAAAATTTTGTCTGAAATATGCAACTTGTAAGAAATACTTGATGACCTGCATTTTCGGTTTCTCAAATACCTAAATGTCAAAAAGTACACTATTTTGTCGTGAAATGTTATTATCTATATTCATATTATGTAATAATATAATTACATAAAAACAACACAATAGCATAGTGTTTGCGCATAAATTAGGAGCATAATTTAAGATATCTGAAGCTCAAGAAATGCTTTTCAAATTAGAATTATAGTAAAGTCTTTTCATATATATATATATATATATATATATATAATAAATAAATATATATAAATTCGACTCTGAAACTCCTCTCAAGCCCCAGTCTGGAAGATCGGATGATTTAAAAGAAGCATAGCAGGGTAGTTCAATTTGCAGTCAAGATTTTACCACAAATGTTGTCAATTTATATAAATCATGAGCGCATTATTTAGAAAGAGGTGCGCGACGTAACGCACTATTGTCAGATGCCATCCTATGATTTGTTCGGTCAGATACCATTCGAAGAAGACTAGGGCATCTTGATATTCCGCCAAACATTCTATGTTGCTTAATTTCTTCACATGTCGGCCTTTCTTCGTCATCGAATGCTAACATCCATGCTATCAAATCTATGACGTATGAGGTTCCCATTGTTACAAGGTGATCCAAATCCCTGTTGATATATTTCTTGATATTCCTGTTCCAGTCATCTGGATCGCTACCAAAAGGATGGCGACCCCCACTCCACATGAAAAAGTAGACAAGACCGAGAGAGAAAATATCAGCTTTTTGGGAAATGATATCCTTGTTGTATGTTTCTGGAGCTCTCCATCCGTCAGTGCCGACTCGTGCATAGGTCAAGGCCGTGGCGGCTCGTCCGCTTCTCATTTCTTTGCTCACGCCGAAATCAGAAATTTTAAGATGTTTTCCGTCGAGTGTGACCAATATATTGCTCGGTTTCAAATCACGATGAATTATTTTTTTTTCGTGAATGTGAGCGAGGCCTTCAACGAGCTGTCTTGTGAAAATCTTTCTAATTTCTTCCGTCAAGTCTTCACAGCTATTTGCAAAATCACCAAGCGTTTCGTTACTGCACATTTCCATAGCGATGAATATGTATTTAACAGTGCCCAATGTGTGAATACCAGACTGTATCATGCTAACGACATTTGGGTGGCGACTCAGTTTCACTAGAATTTTGGCTTCCCTCTCATTCTGCTCGTTATGCGGAATCAGTTTCACTGCAACTTGAGTGACACCAAATTCTCCGTGGATTTGTTGACCTTTGTAAACGAGACTATACTTCGATATCTTTTCAATTTGCGACATCGAAATTGATTCAGTCAGCCAGACTGTATCTGAAATAGGTAAAAGTCAATTCAGATAATTCTTAAATCATAATGAATCACTATGTCGCCGACCGAGGGAAAATTTGAAGCCGATTCGGGCCTTTCAAGTCGGGTTTGCCATGATTTCAAAGTTGATTCTAATTTGGCAAACAGTTATTCTACAGAAATCAGAAATGCTCTCTAAAGTCTAAACCATTTGCTGGATCTATTTTTTGTATGCGTAGGAGTATTTGATAGCAGGTTTTAATGTCTGGTTGGTTCAGTGGGGCAATCAGTCAATTTTTGAGGTGTAGTAAAGCTAATTAAAAATAAAAACATTTGTTAGATTTGATCATGTCCGTCCTATTTTTTTTTCATTTATTTCATTATTTACATACCATCCACGTATTTTCAACGTGTTTTCTGAAAAAAAAATACTTTCGCCTTACTAGCTGTTATTTGTAGCTTTTTGTTAGCTAGTGATTTTTGAGTTGGGGCACGAATCTTGAAAAATTTTAAGAGGGGCGCGCTTTAAAAAACTTGAGAACCACTGGGTTAGAAATTTCGGATTTGTAGGTCTGGTAACTTTCAGAGTTCCGCGGCTTGTCGTTGTGCGGTAATAAATTTATATTTCAGACATTTATGTCATCATCTGCTAACTAAACTCACCGTCAGCAGATACCGCTCTACTTGACTCAATTTCCTGATCTTTATCTTGATTTATTGTGACGTTTGATGCTCCCATTGTGACGATATTTGCGTCAATAGGTCCAGTGTATTCTAAAAATACATAACAGAATTTAGTGATTCAGGAGTCTTTCTGCACACTAACACAAATATATTTCTGTAACGTTTCATTTGATCAAGGTCAGACTTCTTCAGACATACATAGTTCAACTATAGTCACAGAATTTAGTGCTACAAACTGTATCGTACGGGCCCAAGTTTTTTTTAGATTAGGTTAAATTTCGTTTCACCCTTTCAATGAACGTTAGCACAAAAAATTGAATAAATACTGCTACCACTTTTAATGAATTTAATAATATCTGATATTACACGCTTCGATATCGTCTCGAAAGTAGAGGAAGGAAAACCATGGTATTTGGTTATCTCCAAACTTACCTTGCGCATGTATCACCATGGTCTGTACATTCATATTCTGAACTCGTAATTCTGTTGAAGTATTTTCTGTTCTCTCAGTTGGACATTCACCTAAGGGCGGGTCTTCCATCGTTAATCTGTTAAAGGCATCTTCCATTTTTCCAAACTTGTTCTTCGACTTCTAAGCGTCAAATGAATACAACAAAAAAGGTATCTAAGCAATATAGCGAGTAATATCGCTGACTCAATGGATATTTCTGCAACCAAATTTAACTGTGTATAGAAGGGATACTCAAGGGACAAGGAAGTACCGTATGCTTTAGTGCAAGATAGCATAACATAGAGTAATGTTCAATAGCCCAACTCGACGGTAGGAATAAACTCTGATATCAATGTTTCGTAGCCTACTGCCCTGTTATTTCCCTTCACATATTTTTATGATTTGTAATCTTTGATTCTGCTTAAATAGGTTAACTTCAACCACCTTAGCCTCACCTGACTAAAATAAACAGATCAAATCATTTATTGGTGAGTTTATAAGTAGATAAGATAATGATTTTTAAAATCTGGACTTAGGGTCTAAGAGACGCTCCTCCAAGACAAAAAAAAAACCCACCACTGCTCAAAATAAAATAGTACCGTAATTACTGTTCACGCTAGCCTAATATCGCATTTTTTACGGTCTACTGATTTTGGCATACTGATTTTGGTCTTGGAATTATGGTCCTACATCCGGGGCTTTGCTCAGCTGCTTTCTAGGATTTTCGATGTGAAGTGTGCTTATCTCAGTTTAGGGTTAGTAATGCTAAATTTTGTGGGTTTCTGGCCTATATGGGTTTCATCAGATAAACTTTATATAGATGTATGATTTTATATTGTTGCAGATTTTGTTGTGCTATGTACGCTGAACGTTGTTAATCGTTTGCTATAATACCGGTAACTGATATCTCAATTTTGCATTGCCGTTTGCCATCTTCAATCTTTACAAAGAAAATTACATTGCTGCATTGGTTTTCGTTTCTACAACTTGTGTTCTGTGTGTTTCACTGGATTGGGTCATTGCTGTCAGTTTTTCAGTTCAAGGTAAACGCATTTCAACCAGCAAACTGGCAAACCAGAGAATTAGGCAACATCAAATCTTAAATTATCAATAGAAAACGCTGGCATCTCAAGGGGTCTGGCGTGGGATAGTTCTAAATGATCACTGTCCTGAACATTAAATTAACAACGACGCACAAGTTTAACTAAAGAATTTAAAACTATATCGTATATAACAATGGCTGAAGATTCTGCACCGCAAATGCAACATGTGATCCAGGGATGGCCATTTCCGAATACTAAACTATTCCGAATACATTCTAAAATAATGTTTTCGAATCTGGAATTCCGAATACATTCCAAAATCGAAAATAACACATTTTTGTTTTAGTTGATTAAAACCCAGTAAATTAGGAAATAAGCTTCAATAGAAATATCATAATGAAGCCACAAACCAACAGTATATGTACACAAAGTAATTGATAGTTTATAGCTATCAATAAAAAATAATAGCAACTTGTGACACAGTCAGTTTATTAACATTATTCACTTTGTACAAATGACCATATGAAATAATAGCCAAGGAGTTGTCTGACGCTTTCTATCATTGGTACCATGATATTACGATAATAGTCAAGTCTATTGACAAAAATACTACTTGTATTCAGATAATTGTGTATATTTTCTGAGAGTAATAAAATTTATTGGCAATACAGGCAACAACAATCGGAAATCCATTATGCATTTAAAAATTCTAATATTTAGGCCTGAGGTATTCTACTACCTACCAGTATATTGTTATTATGTGTAACATAATGTTGTGTTTGGAATTAGAAATAAATTAGTAGAGAATAGATGACCACCACTGCCAGCGCGCAGCCAGGATTTTCGAAATGGGAAATTCCCATTGCCGCCTGTAACACCCATCCATGACAACTACGAGATCTAAAATATCTTTATATATTAATTTAATATGTCCAACGTAACTCGCGGTTGCTTCTTCTTACGCCAAAAAAAAAAACATTACTATTTGGTCCACGGCGATCTGTGACCTAAAATTAGATGATGTAGATTAGCCTGATGTATTTAATTTCAATACGTATTTTTGCAATCTTGCCAACTCGTTATCGCCGTTAGAAAAATCTCAAATAATTATATAAAATCCTGTTAAGTGTAGAGTATAATTCATTTCATTCAATGAATATACATATAAAGTTTAGCAGTAAATTAAAAATACAAATTCCTCGCCGCGATTATGCCACCTCGACTTTTAAAACAAATAATATAACAACGAATATATATTTTTCTGTTGTGCAAAGTGATGAATTCGTGACCGACACGGGCATATTTAAAATGTCTTGCTTTATTGATTTAATTGTCTTCAATTTAACCTGCGGTTGCGTCGACAAAATAAAATCCTCACCACTCTTATATACCATTCCAATCCGCGGTCATAAAAATAAAAACGTGAGGTAAACTGTCCGATTAAATATTGTTTTGATCCGTATTTTGCGAATTCGGCAGATATTTAGATGTACTTGTTAACAGTGACTCCGCTCGATCGAAATGCTGCCACTCTGATTATTTTTAGATAAAACTGTTCGAGAAATCCATAAATACGCTGTAATATCTCAGAGTAAAATTTATTTCATCACAATAAAATTGATTGAATATACTTTAGATTAATTATATTATATACATCCTCACAACCCGGGAAAAAGTCGCGTTTCAAACCTTGTATTGTGTTAACATGAAAATATTTCGACGGCAATTTAAAGTAATGGATAATCAGGCAAATCCCGCCCTCAATTAGTGACGATATGTTTCTAAACGCCGACCAAACATGCGTGCCAGAGGTACACGAAATTTTGCGATTTTCACTGCCTAGAAAAGAGTTTTTTAAATTTTCGCGGCCTCAATAAAACTTATATTGTTTACGGTTTTATTTTCAGTATTCTAAATTGCCGCTTTTCAATCAAAAAGTTGCGTTGTCTTTAGAAACTCGCCGCCGATGAACGTATTTACCAGATTCACAATTCCGTGCGCGTACAAAAAATAAAATAAATGTTATAGTTATCTTGGAACAAATTTGTGGAAAATTTTCGTTTTATAGTAAATAACACAATCTTAAAGGCATTTACGGGCCTAAATAACACGTTACGCTGATGAGTGATGAAACAATCACGCGCAAGTTTCTATCGAGAATGTTTTCATTCCACGGAAACGTCTTGAAAGCGGCGTCGGAAATGTGTGACGTCACACAAATATCCGATATTCTTATGAACGTGAATTCCGATATTCGAATGACGAGATATTCGAATACATTCGAATACTTTATTCGAATTGGCCATCCCTGATGTGATCTCCTCTGGAACACCAGTTGCTAAGCATGACGATGCAGGCTCAACTGCAGAACTGGTTCAGCTCATGCTGTTATTTCTAATGAGTCTGTGCGTGCAGAATACAATCTAAAGATGGCTCAACTCAAGTTGGAGCAATTTGATCAGGAAGAGAAACTAAAATCTGAGCTGTTAGAAGCAGAGAGAAGAAAAGCTGCTGAATTGCAAAGATTTCGGCTTGAACAAGATTGTAAGGAAGCTGCTCTTATGGCGGAAATGGCTGATGTGGAATCTAGTGATGGTTGGAAGTCTGTTGACTTGGCCAATACAGCTCTGGGAGATGCTCAGAGGCCTGTGGCTGTTGGTTCCTCAAATGTCAAAAGGAGATTATGTAAGAATAGGTTTCCTGAAGAATTCAATTCTACATCACCTGAAATGTCAGTTCAGGAAAAAGTTCATTTTCTGGGAAATGTTTCTAGACCCAATCAAACGGTTAGTCCATGCAAAAATGTTGACAATTCAAAGAGTAAGGCTGAAACGCAATTCTCTGAACATCTATACAAATTGACTCAAGCGATGCAGCAAGGCTTTTCACTTCCTCGTGCTAAACCATTATCATTTGATGGTGACCCTTTGAACTATTTTCATTCATGAAATCTTTCGAAAATTTGATAGAAGGCCAGGCATACGATTTTCGCACTAAATTTCAACAATTAGAACTTGCATGCATTGGTGACGCTAAAAGGGTTATTAAGCGTTTTACTTATGAGGAAGATATCGAAACTGCATATTATTCTGCTTTGAATGGCCTAAAAGAGGAATTTGGTCGCCACGATCAAGTTATTGAAGCTTATCGTAAGAGTTTAACTGAGGGCCGTGTACTAAAGATGAATGATCTGTCTGCATTGCGGGAATATGCTTCTGAATTGAAAACATGCCTTGCAGTTTTGAAGGCATGGAAAAAGCCAAATGCATGGATTTAAGTGAATTTCTAACTAGAATTTTTGCACGTTTGCCAGAAGATCTTCAACGAATGTATTTTGCGGAGCTCTTAGCTTCTTCAAAAAGGTCAACGTTTGCTAACTTTGGTAGACTTTGCTTGGCAGAGTAGCTCGGATTACATCTGACTGTTGTGTAGCGTCTTACATGAAAAATGCTGCTCGGGTATCTGATAAAATTGCTAAGAATCGAACAAGGGATGCAATTTACACTGCAGTTTCGTCATCCGTTGACGATCAACTTGAAGCATCCGATGCCGTTCCCAGCTCTACTCTTCCAGAATGCTTGTTTTGTAAAGACTATCACTCCATATATAAATGTGAAAAAATTCATGGTGGAGCCTGTTGAGTCTCGTCGAAATTTTGCTCGCGTTCAACGTTTATGCTATAACTGTCTAAAGCCCAACCATATGGTTGGTAGTTGCCTTTCGCAAAGTAGATGCAGGGCTGAAGGATGTGGTGCTCGTCATCATACGTTGCTCCATATTGGTCATGTGAACAGAAATAATCAGTCAGTCCCTGCGACAGTACATGGGGCCGGTAATAGCATTTTTCATCTCTTTCAGTCAATAAAAATGTTTGCTATGTTAGACTTCAAGTTGCACCTGTTAGGGTATTTCTCAATGACATGAAAAAATCAATTGAAGTGTATGCCTTTCTCGATCATGGAGCTACTCGCTCATTTTGTTCCAAGTCTTTATTAGATAGAATGAATATTTCTGGTTCATCTGAATCTTGTTTGATTAATGGTATAAATGACTCAAGGCAACATATTGGCCACAGGGTAAACCTCAAAGTACAGGGA